GGCGCATCGGGAAAGCGCGTTGTTTTTTTCCCTTGGGCCGTGCAGGACCCACCCCGGAGAGGACAGAGAAGTCAGAGCTGTGGCCACTCACCCCTCCAGGGAGAGTCACCCCCCCCACCCCGTGACTGTCAGGAGCTGCTCCTGTCCTTTGGGAAGCTGGAAGGGTCTCTGGCAAACCAGGCAGTGCCCATTGCTTTCCACACGGTGCCCACCCGCACTCAGGGGCCTGGGGCTCACAGCTGGTGTAGAAGTTCCCAGGATGGAAATGTCACAGCTGTCCCCGTCACTCCCCACCTCTCCTCCCAGGAAGCCAAATCCCCTTGATGTCCTGAAAACTGGTAACAGCCTGAGCAGCTGCAGTCTACTGGTGCCGAGTCCCTGGGAGACACTTCAGGTTCTGGGGCCCTGTGGCCTCTCACTTCCCAAGAGCCGGCGTCTATTCCCTGAATCATTTATCCAACGTCTCTTCATTGAACACCCATCACCTGCCACGTGCTATACTAGGATAGAGCTGAGGACCAGGCAGGCTCGGCTCCTGCCCCCAGGACCTTACCACTGGGTGGAATGGCACCATGGACAAGCAGAGGCAAGGCCTCGGACTCAGGGTGCCTCAGCTCCCCAGTTAGACCCTCAGGTCTGTGGGATCAGGGAAGGCCTGTGAGGAGTGGACACGGAAGCCGAGGCCTGGGTAGGAGTTTGGTGGGAGGGAGAGGGAGCCGTGTGGGTGGATCTGGGGGCCGGGGAAGGCAGCAGGCTTAGTAAGAACCAGAGAGAAGCTTCCACAGGAACCCTCATGGTGAGTGAGGCATGCAGCGGGGAGTGGGAGCCCTGGCCCCTCCCCAGCACTGAGTGCCCCCAACACGTTTACATGTTCTCTTGTTCCAGTCCATGTCCCAGCACTAGCATGGGGACTCCGTGGGGACAGGTCCCTGTTGTCACTGTTGTCACCTAGGACAGTGCCTGGCACGCTGTAGGAGCTGGCTACATACACGGTGAGTGAATGAAGGAACGGGTGACGTGTGCAGACCCCATTTCTATGCTCTGATACAGGCAACAGAGAATCAGATCCTCTGTGTATTTCTAAGTGATGAACACAAGACATCCATCCGTTTTGGAAGGGGTGGTGATCTTGTCTTTTGCCTCTGGGATTTATGCCACACTGCAGGAGGGGACAAAAGAGGAAGAGCACTGCCATGTGAAGGAGGGGAAACATGTAAGGTGTCCTGGGCTGTGTGCCTGACCACGAGGCTCCTCCGGTTCAGAGAAATTAAAGCATCCCGTGCGTCACCTTCCTGACGAGGGCGGGGAAAAGGCCAAATCCTGAAGCAGCTCAGCTGCTTCATTAGAGGAACAGCCAAGAACCAGCACCATCTCCGCTGTCTCTGAGCTTAAGTTCTAGACGCTAAGGGATGGGCCTCACGATTTGCAACTTAGTAACACAGAAGGGCAGAGATGCAGAAGTGCAGGGAAGTGGGGGGGGGGGATTGGGGGGGGAATCAGGCTGGGGGTTCAGGGAAGCCTCTGGAAAGGGGAGAGATGAGGAAGGTGAGTAGGAGCTGCAGGGAGTGAAGGTGGGGCACAGGAGAGATCCCACAATCCCAAGCGAGAGGGAGGGAAGGGCCCAGAGAAAGGGGAACGGCTTGCAGGCACCGGGAAAAGCAGTGGGGACACTTCATGGACAGATGGGACAGGCAGGTGAAGATGGAATGAAGTATTATTGCTGGACGCACGAAGCTCTGTCCGGGGGCCTCTGACTTGATCTGTTCTCTTGGGGCCTCGGGCCTTGTCCCCAAACTGAAGCAGTCAAACGAAGTGGCTCTGGAGAGGCAGGTGGGCAACACAAGAGCCAGGGACCCGTCTCTGCGGCACCTCCCTGCAGTGCTTGCGGGCAGAGCAGCTGCCAAGATCCTGTGAGGCGGCTGTGTCCCCACTCCAGCCACTGTTCCAGGCAGCCCCAAGGAGGAGCAAGGGGGCGCAGAGCCCAAAATCAGTACAACAAAGACCAGAGATCTTAGGCTTAAGAACTGTTACGTCTCATCAATTCTAAGATGTGAATTCTTTCACATTTTTTTAATCCTCACCTGAGGACATATTCACTGGTTTGAGAGAGGAAGAAACATCGATATGAGAAACATCAGTTGGTTGCCTCCTGTAGGCACCCTGAGTGGGTATCGAACTCACAACCTAGGTATGTGCCCAGATAAGGAATGGAACCCGAAAACTCTGGGTGCATGGGACGACGCTCCAACTGAGCCCCCAGCTGGGGCATCTCTCCCATTTTAACATCTCTGAAGTCAGCACACGCCCCCTGCCTGCCAGTGTGTCTGGGTGGCTGCGCCTTCCTGGTGGCACACACTCGTCTTTCAATCGCTGGCATCGCAGGTTTGATGCAACCTGGAGACCTTGGGCTGTGACTTCCTGCACACAGAACTGACTAAAAGCAAAAAGGCCAGAAACCCACCAACTTCTCAGAACTGTCCTTCCACAGAAAGCCACCGCGCCTGGCGGTTTAGTGGAGTCTGGACTTTTATGGGAAATACTTATCTTGTTCTGTGTCGGCTGGACTTAAAAACTGACCTCAGCTGTAAGTTTTATTGTTTTGTCTGACAGGCTTCCAGATTCTCTTCACCCTCTGGCCGAAGAATTACTGACACATTTTTTTACTAAGAAATCTGATTTTGTCAGGATGCCTAACAAAACCACCTACACAGGCTCTTCGACTTAAAAGTACACGTGGGACAAAGCCCTGTTTACAAAGGGGCCCGTTCAGGAGACATCTCTCCAAAGATGACACAAGAACAGCCTAGAAGCACATGAAGAGATTCTCAACGTCACTAACCATCGGGAAACACAAACCCAAATGGCAACGAGACCCACCCGCACCGAGACGGCCACTACGGAGCCAGCGGAAGCGTCGGTGAGGGTGTGGAGACACCGGGACCCTGGGGCACCACGGTGGGAATGTCAAGTGGGGCAGCTGCTGTGCCGTCAGCAGGTCCTTGAACAACGTCGCTTCATGCATAACGTTGATGAGATGCCACGGGAACTTACCTGCTGTCTGCATCAATTAGCCTGAGGTAAAACTGGTTTTATTCTACTTCCCTTAAAGTTGCAGCACCTAACTCAGGCACTGAGTGAGGACTTACGGGACAGCGATTCCTCAAGATTAAACATGGAGTTACCATATGATCTGGCAACTCCGCTTCTGGTTGTCGAACCCAAAGAACCGAAAGCAGGGGCTCCGACAGACACGTGTCCACCCACGTTCACGCAGCATCGTCCCCAGTGACCAGACGGTGGAAGCCACCCCAGTGTCATGGATGGATGAACAAAATGTGGTAATCCATACAACGAAATACTACTCAGCCTTAAAAAAGAACTTCTGACTTTGCAACATAAATAAACCTTGAGGACATTCTGCTAAATGACATAAGCCAGTCCCCAAAAAAAGACACTCTGTATGACTGCACTCCCATGAGGTCCCTGGAGCAGTCAAGTTCATAGACAGAAATTAGAGCAGTGGCTGCCAGGGGCTGGAGGCAGAGCAGGGAGCTGTCATTTGATGGCTATGAAGTTCCAGGGTGTTTTTTTTTTTTTAAGATTTTATTTATTTACTTTTAGAGAGAGGGGAGGGGAGGAAGGAAGAGAGGAAGAGAAACATAGATCAATTGCCTCTCACATGGGCTGCATTGGGGGACCTGGCCCACAACCCAGGTATGTGCCCTGACTGGGAATCGAACCGGTGACCTTTTGGTTCACAGGCCATCACTCAATCCACTGAGCCACACCAGCCAGGGCTGAAGTCCCAGTTTTGCAAAATGAAAATAATTCTGGAGATGGTTGGTAGTGATGACTATACAACGGTATGGATACACTTAATGCCACTCAAATGCATATATAAAAATGGTAAATTTCACACAATTAAAAACATATTTTAAAAAATTCCATGTGGAGCCCTGGCTGGTGTGGCTCAGTGGATTGAGCGTGGACCTGTGAACCAGAAGATCGCGGTTCAATTCCCAGTCAGGGCACATGCCTGGGTTGCAGACCAGCTCCCAGCAGGGGACGCACGAGAAGCAACTATACATTGACATTTCTCTTCCTCTCTCCTTCCCTTCCCCTCTAAAGATAAATAAATTTTTTAAAATTCCATGTGGAAAAGACTTTGTTTCTGAGACAATGTCAAACGCAGAGGCCCCGTGTGACCCATGATGGAAAGTCAGTCCAAGCAAGTCAGCAAGAAATAAGGCTTAACGATGAGCCACTGGGATGTGGGGCTTCATCACCTACTGCGGTGTAACCTCGCTTACCGAACACACGTGCTGTGCATGATGGGAAGAGAAAGGGCTTCACGTGCTCTGGGTGGGAACCACGGAGACCACATCCCTAGATCCGACTCTTCTCTAGACCGAGAAGCCTCAGAAAACACCAAGCTTTCTCTGGGCTTCATTTCAGTTCCCCCTTCTTATCTTAAAAAAACAGGAATTTCTTATCTTCCAACCTATGGAGGGAAAGACGGGCTGCTGCTTGATCTAGGAGGGAGATCTGGGCTCTCTGCCGACCTAACCTCCAACTCACCTATAGCTTCTAGGGTTGGGCTCCAGGGGGAGGAGCAGCTGGATGGCGCAGGGACTTCCAGGGAGCCCCTCTAGGAATGGACCCCAGTGCCAGGGACCAAGAAGGGGAGCACTCGCTCACTCCCCACTGTCACTTCAGCCTCATCTAGAGGGGACAGCCTGAGACCCCGAGCCCCTCGCTGAGATGGCTTTTTAGCACTGACCCTGACCTCAGCTTGTCTGAAGAACTCCCGCCTCATCTCCCAGGAGCCATCTGCCCAGAGCTGGGAGCTGCACGAAGAGCCGCACTCCGGGTACTGGGCCCGTCCCACCCAGCACAGGCTGTCAGAGGTATCTCTCCCCAGGTGAGGGGACACAGGGCCGAGGTCAGGGCACCTCCTGGGCCCTGTGGGCGTCAGCAGGACAGACACGGCACACGCGGGAACCTGGAGCTGCAGACAGCACTGAGCTTTATTTCCAAACATGTCATACAATGCCCTTGCCTCCCACCCAGTACCCCTCTGAACCTGGGAAGGACACCCACCTGCCCAACCTAGGAAGGTGGGGCCAAGGCCACCTCCAGCTGAGGGTGGGTGGGGCTCCCGGCATGGGCACCCCGGCAGAAGGGAGAGGCTAGAAGCGATGGCAGGGGCACTGTCTTCCTCCAAGCGGCCAGTTCTCAGGGCTTCAGCCGGGGGGTGCAAGGCTGGGGCACCTAGGGCTCTGACCAGATCAGAGTGGGGGGCGGAACCCGCAGTGGCAGGGCCTGGATGGTAAATGAGGTGGTGTCAGAGGGGGTCACATTGGGGGCAGGTCACCCTAGTCCTAGCCTCATCTCCTTCTGCGTCCTGCTCAGGTGGGACGGGGCAGCCAGCGGGGAGTGCTGCAGCCTGGAAGGGTGCCTTGGGTCAGGGCCAGAGGGACTGGGCCTCTGTGGGGAGACACCCCAATCCCGCCCCGGGACCCTGCCATCCCCGGCATATGCCCCCCCAGGGCACCCAGACCATACCGGGTGGTGAGGGTCCGCCGACAGCTTCTGGTGCTGGGCCTTGGAGGCAACGCAGGACCAGAGGTCCAGGCTCTTGAGGGCTGAGCTTCTCTCAGATTTTGGAGGGAGAATGTCCCAGCCCAGCAGACAGTGCTGTGGGGAGCAAGAGGTTCGGGCACCTGGCGTGGGGCACAGCTCCCCCCAGTCACGGTGTCCCCTGCAGACCAAGGCTCCCGCAGGACAGGGGCGTGTGTCTGCCCACTGGGACGCCCTTCCTAACCCTACCGGCCTGACCGGAGATGAGCGGAGGGGAGGCCGCAGACCCTGACGAAGCGCTTCCCGTGTGTAGGCCTCTACCCCGCACCCAGCGGGTCCCAGTCCCCTGAACTGCTCCGTCTCCCCACACAGACCTGAAGACAGTATCTTGTGCCCATTTTACAGACAAGCAAACCAACTTTCCTTGGCATCCTTTCTCCTTCCCCCAGGCCCAGCTCCCCCAGCCTCAACTGGGAGTGACTGGGGTGCGCAATGACCCGTCCTTCCCAGGAGACACAAAGGACATTATGGGAGGCACTATGGAAGCATCAAGACCTGGGTTCGAATCCCAGCTCTCCTACTGGGCTGACCTTAGACAAGTCACCTCCCCTCTGCCTCAGCGTCCTCATCTGCGAAATGGGACAGTGGCAGAACCTGCACCAGCTGTAGTGGGGCCCCCTGGGATGACCCTTCCAGGGACTGCGCAGGTGGCACACAAGACCTTGATAAACGGGGCCAATTTATGCCAACCCGTGGGCGGACACTTCTCCAGGGCGCCAGAGTGGGGGGGCTGCCCCCCTTCCCCAGGGCACATGCAGAGCTCAGGTCATGGAAGCGACCCAGCCTGAACTCTGCAGCAGACTTTAGCGCTCATCCTGCTTGAGCTCAGCCTCACTGTGGGGCCTTGGCTCAGTCCCTGGCCCTCTCTGGGCCTCGGGCTTCATCTGGGGACCTGGGCCAGACAGGGACAGCCCCACCCCCACCCAGGCCCCACGTGGCTGCTCACCCCGGGCAGGGCCAGTGAGTCGCAGGCATCAAGGCTCTTCCGCCGGTGGATGCGGTACTGGTGCGGGGGGTCCAGGATGGACACTGGGATGCTCACCCTGGGCAGGGATGGCAGTGGGGACAAAGCCACAGCCCCAGGCCCGCCTTTCCCCCCACAAACCGGCGGACCCCAGGCTGACTCCCTCCTCAGCTCCTGCTGCCCTGACAGCTGCCCCCAGGTGTCCTGCCTGCTCTGGCCACTCACCTGACCTGCGCTGGATCCGCCAGGGTCTCAGGGCCCTGCTGGTCCCGTGGCGTCCTGCACAGACGGCAGGGGGTGCCGGGGTCCCAAGGCACCAGAAATAGGCGCCGGTTGACACGGTAACAGTACACACCTGTGAGGCCCATGAGACGCAGCAGCCTCCCCTCAGCCCAGGAACCTAGGTCTCAGCAGAGGCCCCTGCTGCCCCCAATCACATGGGCCCACCAAGCCCTCCACTCCCCCCCCACCACGCACGGGCATGTACACGCGTACACACACAGCATGCAGACGGACTTGTGCCCACACACAAAACACCGAACATGCACTCCTACTCAAACAAGACACGTGCACACACCCGCCGGCACCTTCGTATGTGGAAATGTCACGTGTACAGATGCAAAACAGGGATGGCTTCAGTCACATTCGTGGACACACATGCATGTGCCTATATTTGTAATCAACTTGCACAGAGCACACATACACACACGTTCACACAACCACCCCTTACACACAACTGCACGTACACAGTACATGCGCACATGTGCCTACAGTACAGATTTGCGTGCTCATGACTAAGCTGGGACCACCCCCCACAGACCACACACATGCAGAGAAAAGGGTGTGGGAAGGGGGGGCACGTGGGAAATGAGGCAGCTGGGAAGGAAACGAAGGCTGCCGGGGCTTGGGCAGGCGGGGTGACCCAGGGCCAACCCTAATCCCTCCCTCCCTCCCAGGGCCTGGCTCACCCTGCCTCCCCAGGCCCCAGCGACCTCAGCAGGGTCTATGCTCACATTGGTGGTCTTCCTCGGCAACGGCGCTCTCCCACAGGCCCAGGAGCTCCACACTGCAGAGCGAGAGCCATGAGCCACCCGGCGCCAGAGCCCCCGAGCCGCCCGCCCACTGCCCACCAGCCCCTACTCACTCGGGGTCACTGTGAATGCACTCCTTCCTGTTGGCTTCTCTGAACTCCTGCAGCCTCGAGAAGAAGTCCTCAGGCTCGCTGCTGATGAGCGAGCTGTTGTCCAGAGTCCCTGACGTGGGCAAAGCACAGGGAACTGCTGTGCGGCCAGCGGCCAAGGCTGAGAAGACTCTCAGTGCACTCCGTCACCTGCTGTGCCCCCACCGGGCCTCATAAACCTGAGAGGGACCTGCCACTGACACCACTGGTTTTGTTTCAGGGTCCGTCTACCTTGACGCGTGTCCGACTGTCCAGGCAAAAATGTTTGCAGAGCCCTCACTATGGACCAGATGGTGTTGGGAAAAGACAAAGCCCCTGTGCTCATGAGACTTATGTACTAATACGGTAGCCACAAACTGATCAACAAGGAAACGGGTGACACAACACTGAATGATGACACCTCCCAGGAAATAGAAGACAGCAGCGCCAGGGAAATCAGCTTGGTAGCACAAGGTCGCTGGGAAGGCCTCTCTGAGGGGACGAGCCCTAGGCAGAGGCCTGAAAAAAGGGAGGTAGCCACGCAGACATCCCAGGTAGAAAGCAGAGCAAGTGCAAAGGCCCTGGGGCAGAAGTGTATTTGAGAAACAGCCACGAGGTGAAAGTGGCTAGAGAGGAGTGAGGGATGGGAGGGGAGGAGACGACACTGAGAAGACAGCAGAGGGCTTGGGGACAAGGAGTGACGCATTCAGATCAGCCATGTATTTTTATAGAAGTCCCTCTCTGGCTACTGTAAGGGGAGAGGAGGCACCAGTTAGGAGGTGACTATATCGGCACCTGGGAGAGAAGTAGTCGGACGCCAGAAGTGCGTGGAAGGCAGGGCTGCTGGGAGAGAAGGCAGGACTGGAAGAGCAGTATGTAAAAAGGAGAGACGGAATTGAGGTAGACCCCGAGGTTATGTTTTGACCAATTACTGGGTTCCTAGAGATACCATCCACAAAGCGAGAGAGACCACAGGTGGGGAGAAAATCAGGACCTTGACTTTGGACATGAATGTTATCTTAAGACCCCTACTGTGCCACACCGAGAAGACAGCCAGATATACAGTCTGGGGTTCAGAGGAGCAGGGTCAGCCAGAGTTAGAAAGGGGAGCCAGATGAGCACGCGCTGAGGACCGTCCCCGGCACCGAGCCGGGCGCTGACGGAGGAGAAGGTGCAGAAGGTGCTCAGCCAGGAGGGCGGGCCAGCTGACACACGCAGCAGCACAGAAGGTGCGGGCTCAGGAAGGTGTGCGGGGCTTCCACCCGCCGCTCCAGGGCCAGATGTGTGCACGGGGCGGGCCGCACCTGCAATCCAGTCGTAGCCCAGGTAGGGTCTGAGGCGCCAGCTCTTCTCGGGCACTGGAGACTCCTCGTTGAAGGTCACTCTTAGCTGATGAGGTGAGGAAGGAAGGGTCAGCCCAGTGGGCCCAGCCCAAACGAGGCCCCGGCTTGGGGGAAGGAGAGGGGCCATGTCTTAACTCACACACAAACGTGGGTCCCAAGACTCAGCTAAGGGCTTGGAAACTGAAAGACAAAGCTTTCCACCGGACCTCATACGTGACTTTGGGTACGTGTGGCCCGAGCCTTGGCCTTCCCATGTGTATATTGGGGCTCATCACCTTCTTCCCAAAGTGCAGTCTGAAACACTAACCACCGCTGCTTTCCCAGCTCTCGGGTGGAGCTGGACACACCCCACAGCAGCGCCAGGACCACCTCTTACCTTATAAGAGAGGCCACCCGTGGGTGGTCTGTCAGACAGGGAAACTGCAGTTCAAGGGAGCACCCATCAACAGACGCCCCGCTCCCTGACATTACCTTGGGCAGCTTGCTTTGCTGATCCGGGATGGACCACGAGATCGGAGCCTCCAGCTCTGCTGAACGCTCTGGGCCACTGGAGTCCGAGGTGGTCTCCGATGGTGCCGAGCAGGGCCTCAGCGGGCTCAAGGACTCCTGGTGTTGGCATTTAGGAGGTGGGAGAGAGGTCACCCCCGAGCTGGCCCCGCCAGGAAAAGACATATTGCAGGGGTCACGTTGGCTGGCATCCCGTGGGCAGGAGGCTCTCGCGGCCATTGAGAATTTCTCTTGCGATGATGGCACCTCTGACTTGTAGCTGCTGCTGGAGCCCTGGCTTGACTAGAACAGAGAGACCAGGTCACCCAGCTGGTACACACGAGGCATAAAGGCCTGGGTCCTCAGGCCTGAGCTCCAGCCTCTGCACCCCCTCCCTCACTGGACCTGTTTTCCCATCAGCAATAAATGGGCATGCTATGCAAGATGACCTAGAAACCTGGATTCTGGCTGGAGGGTCAGCAGCCCCCCTTGTCCCCTGGGAGCTCCCAAGACGGGCACCTACCTCTGCAGCTGCCTTGGCCACAGATCGTTGCACGGCATCCTGCCCAACCCACAGCTGCCTCAGGAGCTCCAGGTTGAGCTGCCGCAGCTGCGCCAGGTCCTTGGTCTCCTCCATCCCAGACGTATCGTCTGGCTTCCCACAGCGGATGTTGCTGACTCCTGGGCTGTCAGGTGCCCCTGGGGCTGAGTTCCAGGCCCACCTCTGCTACCTTAAGTCAAAACAGCATGACCTGGTTTGGGAGGCTGCCCTGTGGAGCCAGAGGCCTGGGTTCGAATTCTGCCAACTCTGATACTTCCTGAACAGCCTCAACAAGTTAAGTAACTCCTTGATCAGTTTCCTTATCTGCCAAACAAAGAGGATAACAATATCTACCTCGTGAGCATCAAACAAGCACATGTGTGTTAAATCTCAGTACAGTCCCTGGCACACAGTGAGCATGCAGCTCATGTCTGTTATTACCAGCCTGGCCAGGGTGTGAGTCCGTGTGTGCCAAAAGACAGCGGTGCCCCCTTTTTTTTTTAACCACCTAAACTAAGAAACCAGACCAGTTTAACTTACAGAAGACAATTAGGGCAATTCTACAAATGTAAAGTATTATAATTTGTGAAACTAATGCAAACCAGGCTTCTGAAGGGACTCTTTCCTCTCTCTCTCCTGCCCATCCTTCCTGCTTCCCTTAATTTTTACAAATAAACCAAAGTTCAGAGAAGTTAAGAAACTTGCTCCAAGTCACACAGCCAGTTAAGTGGCAAAGCCAGGATTTGAACCCATATCTAGCTCCCGGGTCCCTGGTCACTCCAGGCTTTCCCTGGAAAGCTGCCTCCTCCCACTCCCAGTCTTTGCCCGCGCGCCCCCCCAGGGATCCAGGCTCAGGGATCCACAGATGCCCCTGGAAGGAGTTTCTGCAGGCTAGGGGGCGGGCTTCCCACTTCCCTCAGATCCCCAAGCCCAGACTCTCCCGACCGGAGAGTCTCCCTCAACCCTCACTCTCCCTTTTGAACCCCGGGTTCACTCTCAGAAACCCTGCCCTGACTTCCCACCCACACTCCACACGTGTGGACCGCCCACACCGGGGGTAAGGGGCTCCTCAGCGCTGCAGGGGCCAGAGCAGAGAGAAGCCGGACGTCCACTGGACACCCCACCCCTCAGGCACACCCCACGGGGAAGGAAGGAGGAGAGAAGCCAATAGGGCCCACTCGGGGCGGGGCGCTGTTGTAGACAAATGGGCCACACAGCCAGATCCTCCCTCATCTGACCAGACACTCTAGGGCTCTACGTTTCCCCACGGGGTTAAAGAGAACGGCCTGCATGGCCCTCCTCCGGCCTTGGAAAGCCAAAAGCTGCGCAAACGCAACGGGAAGGCGACCTGCGAAGATAGCCTGGAGCAGAAAAAGCACAACAGGCAGGCGGACGAGAAAGGGACTCTCAGCACACTTAGCACCTGGAGAAAAATCCATCTTTCCCATCGCGGCCCCCGAAGCCTACACGGGGACACACGCGGGGTCTCCCGCCGAACCCCCGCTACACTAGCACTTACAGCAACAGAACACCCAACCCACGCCAGACCGCCGCCAACACAGTGTGGACCTACTTCTGGTCCATCCAACGTGACGCAGGCCGGGGGCGGGGCCCAATCTGGCTGCCCTGATTGGTCAGATGAGGAGAGGCGCTTGGGAACGTTACTCCGCGTTCAGACGCGGCAGTTTCAACATTGGGGCGGGACTGACAGAGTTATTCAACAGCTGAGTCGTCAATTTCCGAGGTCAATTATTTTTTCCGGAAAGAGGCTGGCTCTGATTGGTCAGAACGGAGCCGGGAATCCAGGCCTGGTTTGGAGAAGGCAGTTTCAGGGTCTGTACTTGATGCTGTTCCTAAGCAGTGGATTGCAGCGACTGGGTAACGTGGGCGAGCAGGGTAGGCGGCGACTGGCGCCCCATTCTTTTATACTTTCAAATACTTATTGTACCTACTTTGTGCCAAAGTACTAGGCTGGGAGGCAGGTTAAAATTAAGAGGAATCCATACCTTGAGGGAGAGGCAGGGTAAGATGTGAATACAGTCTGTAAAATACGAATTAATTTATAGGGAGTGCCTACTATGCACCAGGCATCTTCCATATGCCAGTGCCTGCCGGCTTCATAAATGTGCTTTGAGGTGTGATTTTACTGTCCCGTTTTACAGAAACAAAACAAAAACCAAGGCCATGAGAGAAGGGACTTGCCCAGAACATTTTTAAATCAATCAGTATAACTCCCAAATTAACAAAGAAAAGCCATCTCAATAGATGCAGAAAAAGCCACCAAACATTTTCTTAGTGTTTGGAAGTGGGAGTGCCACAATCTTTTACCTGAGAGAGATGTCCCAGTATTTGGCAAATGTAAACTAAAACAACCATGAGATACCACTACATTACTATATGTCTAAAATTGTGCTATGAAAATTTGAAGACGCTATACCAGGTGTTGGCGATAAAAGGGGAAGGAGGAGCCCACACCATCTGCACACCAACTTTGGGACAACAGTTTGGCAGTATCTTAAGAAGTTCAATATAAATTGACCATATGGCCTGGGAATTCAGGCCTAGGTATCTACCTACCCAAGAGAAATGAAAATGTGTCCACAGGAAGCCTCGCAGGTGAATGTCCCTGGCGCCATTATTCATAACAATCACACACACAAAAAAATAGAAACAGTTCAAGTGTCTATCAAGTCCTAAATGGATAAACTAAATGTGGTATATCCATACAATGGAAACTGTCAATAACAAGGAACAAAGTTCTGGCCCTGCACCACCACACAGGTGAATCTCGTAAACATCATGCTAAGTGAAAGAAGCCAGACACAAAAGATCTCAGATTGCATGATTTCATTTATATGAAATATCCAGAAAAGGCCAATCTATAGAGACAGAAAATATACTAATGGTTCCCAGGGCCTGCGGTGGGAACAGAAAGTCACTGCAAATGGGCAGGAGGGATCATTTTGGGGTGATGACACCCCAAAAATTTGTTCTAAAATTGAATTGTGGTGATGGCTGCACAACTTTGTAAACTTGCTAAAATGATTGTATCGTACATTAAAAATGAGTGAATCTTATGGTATGTAAATTACAACAATAAAGCTGTTTTTTTAAATAGTTAAACATACATCCACTGAATGATCCAGTTGTTCTACTCCTAGGTGTTTATCTGAGGGGAAAATTTGTCCATACAGAGACTTGCAAATGAATGTCCATAGCAGCTATATTGTAAATGCAAATACCCGTCAAGAGGTGAATAAACAAACTGTGGTATATCCACACCATGGATAATACTCAGCAATGAAAATGATACACACTATTGTACACACAACAATTTGCATGCACCTCAAGATAATTGTGCCAAGTGGAAAAGCATACATACTGTATGTGTCTGTCTATATAAAACTTCAGAAGATGTAAACCAATCTATAGCGATAGAAGGATCAGATGGGCCCTGGCTGGTGTAGCTCAGTGGATTGAGCATGGGCTGTGAACCAAAGGGTCACCAGTTCGATTCCCAGTCAGGGCACATGCCTGGGTTACAGGCCAGGTCCCTAGTGGGGGCATGGGAAGCCAACCACATATTGATGTTTCTCTCCCTCTCTTTCTCCTTCCCTTCCCCTCTCTCTAAAAATAAATAAATAAAACTTCCTCCCAAAGAAGAAAGATGGGATTGGAGGAGAGATGACAAAGGGATATGAATCTGTGATGGTTTCTCAGATGCATGCAGGTTCCACACTTAGCGAATTGTACGTCGTACACTTTAAATGTGCAGTTTAGTCCATATAAATTGTACCTCAATGAAGCTGTTAAAAGATGTGAGGTGAGTAGACAAGAACTTGGAGTACGTTTGCACTGGCTATAAAGGGACAGCTGCCACTCTTACCACGACACCCCCTCAGGAGTGGCCCTGAAGGGCAAGGACAAAGGTTAATCCTCCCAGGAACAGAGCTGTGAGCTGTACAATCAGTCAGCCATTCATGATGAAGGATGGGAGGTCTGAGGAACAGATACACACAGTCTCCTGAGTGGTGGCCAATGACTTGGTTGGCGCTCAGGACCCCAGAAGAAAAGGTTGGGAGACTGGGGCCTAGGAGAAAGGGGGGAAAGGTAGGAAGATGAGCCGAGGAAAACCGATGGGATGGGGCGCAGAGGATTGAATCTTGGTGTCTTACGTTTCAAATCCAGGGGAGGTGGTCAACAGCCAGCCGGCTGGATGACGTGGCTGGTAGATGTCAGGCAGCCTCTCCTCAGCCACCCTAGTGCAGGTGCAATGGGCCCCAGGACAGAAGGAGCCATGATGATGGGGGTGAATGCACCCCTGTCCGAGGGGTTTAGACCACCCGATACGGCAACATGGTGACTACGCATTGCCTCACACCAAGGCACCCATTTGGGGACAATGGGTGTCTGACTAAAGGATCTACTGATCTTACCAAAAACCTCAGCACCTAAGTGGCATGTCCTGAAAGGTTTAGCTCTGGAACCAGCCCCTGCAACTGTGTCCTTCACAAAACCAAGGTATGCTGCCATGTCCCCTACCAGCTAGAATATGTGGGTACGGGAAGCAGAGGTGGAAGGTGGAAGCCCCCTCTCCATTACTCCCAGTGACCCACTCGTGGAAATTGTTTCCTGTCCCTGCAAACATCAGTACTGCCAGGTTGGAGGTTCCAGTGCATGGGGACAGGAGGCTTCTGCCAAGGGATACAGTGGGGCCCCAGGCTTCCATCAAACTTGCAGATAAGACCGTTCCCTGGTCTTTGGTGGATCATAAGGCAAAGAGAGGCCTCATACTGCTGGGGATAATAAATCCCAGTCACTGTAAGGAGTCAGGGCCCCCTGCAGTGGGAGGGGCGGGGTTTATGGAAAAACACCCTTGGGTGTCTCACAGTGTCTCCATACCCACTGATAACAGTAAGTAGACAACAGCCTAACCAAGGCAAGACAACCAATGGCTCAGACCCATGGAAGTGAAGGTCTGGATCATCCCACCAGCAAATAACCAGAGCAGCAGCGGCGTTAGACCCGGATAAGGGAAATCTAGAATACGGGTGGACCAGGGACAAGCAGCTTGGGCCACTAATCCTCTGAGGAAGAGACGGTGCTAGCTGCCACCCTGAAGGGGACCCTGTTCCATTGGACTTACACGTCCCCTCCCGGCCTTGCCTGTTGTCCCAGCACAGCCTGCCCCGCAGCATGCCTGCCCACGCCTGCCCACGCCTGCCCCTGCCCCTCTCACCTCCACCAACTACCATCGCCCCAAGTTAGCACCCAGGCGTTTATACATGAGAGCCAGAAATGTTTGGAGCCACTCCCCCACAGGGCCAATCTTCAACCAATAAGAAGAGGAGACGGGGGATAAATTCTTCTCCCTTTCTCCCCAGTGAGAAATGGTACGGAGACTAATTTACATGATTTCTTGGGGTCACAGTCTGTTCATTCTGCAGTCCCGTTTGGTGGCAGCTAGCTCCATAACACCTCCTCCTGCGGGCTTTCTCTGCTTTTGACTTCTCTCCCTCCCTCTGGGATTGTTCCGCAGAACAAAATGAGGGTACAGGGGCCCTCGGCTTTCTGGGAAACCCTGGCCAAGGCACTGCTCATGTGCTGACCCTCCAAGCACCTCTGGGTCGAACTTCACCAATCACTGAGCTCCGAGTTTGCATATCCAAGTACAGCAGGAGAACACAAATTTAACATGTCCCAACTGGAACTCCTCGTCTCCTCCCCAAACCTGCTCCCCCGGAGCTTTCCCACCCTCTCATGTGCTCAGGACAAAACCTCGAGTCACCCACGATGTACCACGTCTGTCTTCAAAAGGGCTCTAGAACCTGACTGCTTTTCACCACCTCCATCACACCTGCCCAGCTGGTGCAGCGTCCCCTCCCCCTGAAATGTTGTGGTTGCCCCCAGTCTAGTCTCCCTCCCTGCCTCCATCCTTAATCTGTTGTCTACTCTCTAGCAGCCTGGGACTTAGGATGTAATAAGCAGCTCATGACCCTCCTCTGATAGCCCCTACCTCTCTCACAGGAAAAGCCAGCCCTTACCCCCCCACTCTGCCTCTGGTTCCTTTTCACACCTTATCTCCTACTATTCCACCTCCCGGTTCAGCTCGAGCCACCCTAGTCTGCTTGTGCTCCTTGAAGATACTGTGCATGCTCCCACCTCGGGGCCTTTGCCCATGCTGGGCCGTCTGCCTGGAATGCCCTGCCCCAGATAACCACAGGGGCTCCTTCTCGAAGGAATGTCTTCAGATGCTTCTCAAGGACACTGGTTACACCCTCCCTCACCCCGCCCTGACTCACCAACCAGTCCTCACCTCCTGTTATAGTGCCTTTTACTGCTTGGTTTGGCCGGTTGTCCGCCTGCCCCCACTGGCATGCGAGCTCCGGAGAGGCAGGGATTTTGACCCCCTCATTCACTGCTGTACCTCCAATGCTTAGAACCATGCTGATTAATGCACAGAGTAGGCTCCTCAATATTTTGCCGAATGCATGAGCTTCCTGATTCCTACAGAGAAACGACAGACCACCGAGTGTTTGAGAGGACTTAGGTTTGTTCACAGAAGCGTGACACATGGTGACCTCGACATAAATGCTGGCTGTCACCTCGTCAAGCCCAAAGTCTGACTCAGAGACAGAAAACTGCTCTGGCAGACAGAGTGAATTTAGCTGACACCTGTGCAGACGGCCCAGAGATACAATCCTGACCACATACTCTGTGATTCAGTGGGGACATTGTGACTGGAACCTCTCAGGTTCCCCAGAACACTCAGTGGACAGGTGAGGTGCATTGAGCTTGGCCTTGGCTAAGAGTAGAGACCTTGGTGGGGGGTGAGGGGGGCTCCGAGGTGTAGAACACCCTTCTCCAGCCACGCACACCAGACCATCGTCCAGGGGCTGGTGAACAATTCAGGGAGCCGCAAACAGCTGCTTCTTAAGGAGAAAACACTTGTGGATTGCAGACAGAGTAAGGACTGATTTAAAACTCTTGGTTTTGCCCTGGCTGGTGTGGTTCAGTGGATTGAGAGCGGGCCTGCGAACCAAAAGGTGGCTGGTTTGATTCCTAGTCAGGGAACATGCCCGGGTTGCAGGCCAGGTCCCCAGTAGGGGGTATGCACAAGAGGCAACCACGCAACTCTCCCTTGCTTTCTCCTTCCTTTCTCTTCTCTCTAAAATAAATAGATAAAGTCTTTTAAAATAAATAAATAAATCATTGGCTTCACTAACACACGTGTATTTACTAGATCATGATTGGGGTCAGGGTACAAAGTAAGTTGGGAAGTCACTAGGCTTGCGGGCGTTAAGTCTCAGACTCCATCCAATCCATCACCCCTCCTGCCCCGAGACTGGAACTCTTGGAAGCCCCTAGCACTACCCAGAGGAAGTTTCCAGCAGCGTTTGTTCCGCCCGCCACTGCCAGAGGGCTGTCACATGTGAGGACAGTTACCGGGACGGGACCCACTGATCCAGCTTGTTTACCAAGTCCTGGTTCTGTGCCAGGCAGGCGCTTGGCTAGAGGCTGGGCACGCAGCGACCCACAGAACAGGCCAAAACCTTGGCCCTGCAGAACTCATGTTCTGGCAGGTAGAGACAGGTAACATGTTACACGCTAGAGGATGATTGTTATGAAAATCAGGTGCATCACACCTGTTGCAGGGTGAGCGGCCTCAGAAGTGCCGGGGACAGGGAAGGAGGGATTTTACGTAAGGTGGTCTGGGTGGGCCCAGAGAATGAGGTGACATTTCCGCAGCTGTGGAGATAGTAGTTAGCTGTGACGAGGTCTGGAAGAACGGGCAGAGGGTCAGGGGTGGAGGGTCACTCGGGGCAAAGGCCCTTCCCGAGAAGTGTGTTGAGCAGTTTCAAGCAACAGCAAGGAGCTGGAGTGGCTGAAGCGGGGGCAGCCGAGAAGGAAGGGGTGGCCGGAGGCAGTGTGGACCCTGAAAGACCCCTGCGAGGACTTGGGCTTCGTTCCGGGCGGGACGGGGAGCTGCAGCAGTGTGCTGAGCAGAGAAGCAACATGATCTGAGTTCTAGTTAACATTTACGTGAAGGTCACCCTGGCTGCTGCCTGGACACAAACACACGAGGGCCAGGGTGGGAGGAGTGGCCAAGTTAGGTGGCAGTAACCTGGGTCGGAGGAGTGGTTGTTCTGGGGGGTGGTGCGGGGGAGAACCGGTTAGGGTCTAGAAGTTTTCGGAATATAGGAACTGCAGGCCAGAGGCAGCACACACACACCCCGGCCAGGTAGCCGTTGGTGAGAGCGTCATCCCGAAACACCAAGGTTGCGAGCATGACCGCAATCAGGGCCCATGTGAGGTTCAGCCAGTGAACAAAGAGAAGAACAACCAAAAGCGATGTTTCTCTCTCTCAAATCAATACAGAACTTTTTGTTTGTTTGTTTTAATGCAGCATGTGACAGTGGAGTCCAGGATGATGCCACGTTTGTGGCCTGGGAACCTGGGAGGTGAGGCTGCCGTCCACCGGGACGTGGAGGCCTCTGAACGGGACGAGCAGCGGAGGCAGCGGGCCGAGCCGCTGCCCAGGGTTCCGAAGGGAGAGCTGGGGAACCGAGGGCCCTTCAAAAAGAAAAAGAGAAAAGGTCACAACCAAGTTCTCAGAAGGCAAGCTAGGGTGGACCCGTCTGACTCATGACTTTGTAAGTGAGAAATGAATGGGTTAGAGATACAGAGATCTGAGAAGAAATCATTCTAGATTTCCTGCTCCTTAAAGATCAGTTACGCCTTTGGTTCTTCTGAGAGTATCAGATTCCTTCTAAGAGCGAGGAGGAGTCTGAGGGCGAATTACAGAGGGAACTTCCCCTAAACAAAGCTGAGATCACTTTAAAATACCAACCCGCGGGCCCAGTGATGTCAAAGGGAGTCCGCAGAAGAACAGTAAACTGAGACGACCCCACGAAGGGTTCCCAACCGGTTTTATTTTAGTTTCCAATAATATCAGCAATGATACAGAAGTAATTCAGGCAAATACATCACCTTAAATACATGTCTCGCACTCCAGCGAACAAACATAAAAACAGAACAAAGTCAGCAGCATTAGGTTAGAGTGTCTTTTTGCCACATTTCTTTTAGAAAGTCTCTCCCTCCTTGGTATATATTTCATTTTACTCATTGCGTAAGTTCACCGTTCTGTTCACTGCCCAGGGGCTACATTCAAAACAATTCATGTTTAGTTATACTACATTTTTTTCCCAAAAAGCACAAAATCCATTGGAATTGTGTGACAGCGATTCCTCCTGACACGCTGTGAGGTGGCCACCATCCAGGCCGGCAAGTCCTCCTGCCACGTGCCAACTCAGCAACGTCCATCGCTTTGTTCCTCACGACGGGGCAGACCGAGGGCTTGAAGGACCAGCAGGGACCTGGAGAGGACACCCCTTGCGTGGCCAGAAGAGGCCACCAGCTCACATCCTGATGCCAGAAAGCAAGTGGACTCAAACAAACAGGACAAACCCCAGCGCTCTGCCTAAGCCCCGCTGCTTGCTGGATGAGGCTGCTTGTTTCTAGCATGTTCTCTGACGTGTGCTGCAAAGGCTGTCCCCGAAAGCTGCTTGCCCAGAGAGCTGACACACTGGAGACAGGAACCTGCCCCTACTTTAACCAGTAACAATCCCTAAACCCAAACCCAACAAAGGAAAACATTTCTTAGTTAACAGGAGGCCACGTGCGTGTTGGTCGGAGGCTCTGGGGATCGGGGAGGCCGGGTCCCAGGGTTCCCACTCGGTCTCTGAGCCAAATGCAGTAGAAATGGCACGGGAGTGAGTCCAGAGACCATGGGCCAAGGGCAGCTTGGACCAAGCTGGGGGTGGGGACATGTCTTTTAAAGGGCCTAACATGGATGCAACCAAGCTAGTGGGGTGGGCTCTTGGCCCCCATGAGCCCCGCAGAGTGAGGTCCAATGGAAGCCCTGCTCTGCACCGACGCCACCCTCTCCGGCTGTCCGAAAGGGGGCCGCTACTCGCAACCTGCTGCCAACGTCCCCTTCCTTCCACCATCTTTCCTTCTACTACATCCTCTGACGATCAGAACCAAACCTCCCTTTGCTAATAACAAAACCAGACTATGCAGAACAGGGGGCACAATGAAGAGCAGGGAGGCCTGTCCCTCCTTGTCATGGTAACAGCCACCCCAACAGCACAGGTGTCGGGAGAGCACACCCCTACACACACACACACATACGCGCTCCACTACGCTATTCTCACCTCGCCAGTCACCTCCGGGGCCCCCGCCCCCTGTGGCACAGGGTCCACCTCACCTGTAACCCACGGCCTCTGTGCTGAGCCCTGACACCAAGGCGAGTCTGAGAGGCTCTGCTCGAGGGGCAAAGCACGGAAGCTGAAGGACTGAAGGGACACGAGCCTCAGGGCCTCTGGGCCAGATCCCCGCCAATGCTCTGTGGGAAGAAAACCCAACCATCCCCTAAGGTGCCCTTTCCGGCACGTGTGTGGGGTGCGAGGGGCACAGGTACGCGTGAGTCAGCATTAGTGTTGGCTGGAGCAGGGGTGTGTGCCTGACACCCCGAGAGGCTCCGGGCAGGCATTCTGTGGTACTGGGGGATCCCGGGACCCGGCCGAGCGCTCCGATGCTCAGTCAGGTGCCCCCGATGGGGCAGAGATGACTCGACTCAGCTTCTCAGGGCCACGCTGTCCACGGTCTCTAACAAGTCTCCTTCAGGATGTGAGCCGGGAAATCCTCCTGCAGCGGCAGGCGAAGGCGGGGGAGGAACTGGTGTGAGGGCCCAGAGTGGTGTGAAACACTGGTGCTTTCATCCTCAAGGGGGCTGGCCAGGAGCAGCGCGTGGCTCTGGTGGCGGCCCCCCGTGCTGGTGGCGCCGCCCTTCCCCACGCGAGCTCCGGCTCCGGGCTGCCCACTATCTGCCGGGCTGCAGGTACTGGTGCACGAACATGTTGAGTTCACTGTCCATCCAACCGCCTTTATTCCTGCAGGGAAATGGCGATTTGGCAGTGGTAACATCTGACAATAAGTAATATTAGTGTTACATGCCCACCCATTCTTGGCGAAATCCCCTCCAAAACTCCCTCCTTACACACGAGGAGAGTGAGGCCCCGAGAGGTGAAAGAGCTTCCTGCAGGCCTGACCCGCACGCCGGGTCCGCTTCACCCTGGGACCACGCGCAAGTCCACAAACTGGTGGGGGCTCAGTCTCCCTGCCCATCCCATTTCAGGCTCACCCTGTCCCCACGGCTGACAGGCAGCACACTCTCCCCACACTCGCCCTCAGAGTCCCCAGGGGATGAGCGTATCCCTAGGAACTCGCTGCCCTGGGTGGTGGGCGGGGAGGGCACAATTGGGGAAGGGGAAGTCCACTTCCCCGGGGCTGGAGCCTGTGCCCCATGACGCAGCCCCCGAGTGCTGCCGTCACAGGCGGGGGCAGGAAGCCCAGGGTCCCCGTGAGCTGATGTTATCTCTGGCAGAGCCGGGACCTCTGCAGAGCACTGTCACATTCAGCAATGTGGCTGTGTCACGAATGCTCACTCCACTTTACAGGTGAAAACGAGACCCAGGGGAGCTCAGAGACTTGCCCTAACACAGGTGCCTGGACCAGAACCCAGGCCCTGACTCCTCAGATCAAAACGCTCCCACAAACGCGGTTCCGACAGAGGCCCCGCACAGACCTGGGCCCCGATCCACGTCCTGCCGGGTGCCTGCCACCTAACCAGCTTCCTGTGGGTGAAAATGCTGGTGCGCCCCCATCTGGGCTCCCGGAGGGGTGAAGGGTGTGTGGGTCTGGCCCAGGGAGCCCAGCTTCACCATTTACCTGGAGGTTCCCGATGAGCTACTTAACCTCCGTGACCCCGAGTTTCCTTTTTCTAAAGTGGAGGTGACAATGTGGCCCTGAGGGGACACTGAAGGGTGAGGGGAGCAGCTCCTGTCAAGTGCCTGAGACTCTGCGTTGAGGGTTCCTCTGGGCGGCACCCTTCCAGTCCCACCCGGCTTGCTTCCCCCGCTGCTGCCGGCCGTGAGGACAAGAGCCTGGGGGCGCGGTGACTGCGTCTGCTGAGCCTCCAGTGCTGGCACCACACCGGCCACCCCGCAGGCGCTCAGCAAATGTCAAATTCAGGGGCAAGCTAAGTCCCCAGCAGAGACGTGTGCCTGCATCAAAGACGCAGACTAGCGCCTGAGCCGACACGGCACCTGCGCCCCCACACACCAGCGCCCCCACACACCAGCACCCATTGCCGCCCGCCGCCCAGGCCAGGCTCACCTGAGCAGTTTTGCTTTGCTCTGAAGTGAGTCAAGAACCTCAATTTTCTGGTTCATAGCAGCAATTTCCTGCTCCAGGTTCTCCCGGGTAACGTCGACTTGCTGGCACAAATGAGCAAACGTCCCAGAAAGCTCCCTGAGGGGTACAGTCAGGTCAGCCTGGTACTGTGGCCATTTTGCATGACGCCGTTGGTGGCTAAATCCAACCCACCCGGAGCAGGGCAGTAGCTGAACCCATCTGTCACTTGGTGGTGGCTCTGCCCCGCCCCAGTCCTGGTTGGGCAGGCCCCTCCCTACCCCATGCTGAAACTGTGCATATCCCAACCAGCGTGCACGGGCGCACACACACACAGTGTGCGGACCGGGAGCACAGGGCAATAAACCCCGGCCTGGGCTCAAGACACTAGGAATCAGCTCTTGGTGCTGCCATTCATAGGACCAATGACAGGCAGCAACCGACTACCCTTCAAGCTGCTGTCTCTCCACTTTGAAGAACCAAATGCCAAGAAAAATGTCTACCTCTAGCTCTGACTGGTGAGGCTCATGGGCTGGTCATCATCCCACAAATGGAAAGGTTTGCCAGCTAGATTCCCGTTCAGGGCACAGGCCTGGGTTTCGGGCCAGGCCCCCGTTTGGGGGTGTGCAAGAAACAAAGGATAGATGGTTCTCTCCCTCTCTTTCTCCTTCCCTTCCCTTCTACAAATAAATAAAACCTTATAAATAAATACCATCTTCAAAAACGTCAGTCTGCCTCTAAGGGGTCAGAGGAGAAAATGCCTGGCCAAGGGCCTGCCACATCACAGCCAGCATTCACCCCACCGCCAGACCAGGCGATCCCTTCCCAGCGGACTCGAGATGTACCATGGAGAATGGGCCGCATCCACAATGCAGGCCCCTGAGACAACCTTTAAAAAAATCCTGCAGGTGACATCTCTCATCTTCCCACGTCCTCCTTCCTTGGGGAACTGGACTCCTACTTGGTCCCCGCCCAGGACAGACGTGTCCCTGGAGAGAGGTTTCTCCCCATCCCTGGCCTCAAGGGCGCACTGCACAGCTGAAGGTCAGTGTCAGGTGATGTTTGGAGCCCAGTGGTTTCCAGGCCGACCTCAGAAGGGAACCCAGAGGGAAGTCCTGCACCAGGGAGGCTGGCGCTGAGCTCGGGGCTGCTGGCCACTCACTGCTGGACTTGGTGGCTGCAGTTGGAGCCCGTGTAGCTGATGATGAGCTGCAGCTTCTCGCTGGCATACTCCACAAACTGGCGCTTGAACGCCCTCTCCTTGGCCTTCGTGGTCCAGGTCAGACGCTCATAGACGTAGAGCAGGCCATAGAGCCCAAAGGACAAGGCGATGAGCCGCCAGCCCACCGCCTTCCACACCTGCGGAGCACAGCAGTCAGCCGTCACGGCCTCTCTGCCACCCCACCGCCCGTCCTCTGGGTCTGTCCCTGCCAGGGCTGCCCCACCGGCCCTCTGTGCTTCGACTCAGAACACCTCTTTCACTGTCTCCTCCAACCCTGCTGAGGCTGAAAGGGCAGGGACCGGCTCTAGGGTTAAAGTGAGGGAAATGCAGGTGTGCACACGTGACCCACGGGGGAGAGGGGTGTGGTTAGGGCTGGAAGCACAGATCCAGCACACAGAACTCCCAGACATCAGTGCGCTGAGGACAGGGACACGTCAGACCCCACACCACGCTCGTCTCCAGGGGGCTTCTCTCCGGGTCAGGAGCGGGAAACTCTGCTGCATGGCAGGGTGGCTACACTGGAAGAGCACTGGACTCGGAGCCAGAACCCTGGCTCCAGTGCCGCCCTGGTTGCGTGGCCCCGAACAAGCCTCTGTACGCCGTTTCCTCGCAAAACCAGCAGAAGGGCCTCCACCCCATTCCCAGGGCTGCCTAAACAAAACAAGATGGTGTACAGGGGTCCGTAACCACCAGGTGCCAGAGTCTCAGCTGGTGACCGTCGGCCAGGCCACCCCGTGAAAGAAGCAGAGCACGTGCCTCTGCAGACCGAGAGGGGCCTCGCAGCCTCGCCCGAGTCTCACGGGCAGAGAATGCAATTCCGTTAGCTGCTTCCTGCCACCACTTCTACAGATCAGGTGCCCAGGATGGAGAGAACTTGCCCACATCATCAAGAAAATTCACGGCGTAAGTTAGTTATCCCGGCTGCAGTGTCTCTTGGATCCGAAAGCACAAAATACCCTAGTGCTCAAGAGGGCAGCCTGCCATGTCAGGCCTTAGGGTGGAGAGGGAAGGGCCATAAGCCTAGGAGATGGAGAGATAGGGTTCAGGGCCAGGCCTGGCCTCGTCTTAAACCCTTTCAAGTCTGCTCCTGATTTTCTTGCCTACAAATGAGGAACTCCTGGTCGCGCCCACCTCTCTAGAACCCAGGCCTGTCCACATGTAGTAGAGCCCTACAGAGGAAAGGACACTGCCTGAGAGCCAGACGGGGCCAGAGTCCAAATCCTCGCTGGGCACCTCGGGCAAGCTAACCACAGGCTTTCCTCATCTGTCCAATGGGAATGGTGCTACCCAACAGCAGCTGAGCGAGACAAGTAAGTCAGCACATATATCAAAGGACCGAGGCCGTGCAGCTCCCTGCAGACCAGCGAGGAGAACAGGGGCTGATGGGGGTGAAGACGCCGTGCCCTACTTCCCACCCTGCCCGAGCAGGACTCGTCACTGACCACTCCTCCAACAACCAGAATGCCCATGGAGGTCCTGGACGTCAGGGAGGCCAGGCCGGTGACCATGGAAACCATGAGCTCTTCCTGGGTGAGGGAGCCCTGCGGCAGGGGGGGCATGCTGGGGTTGGCTGGCGTCAGAGGGACGGGACGCTGAACCTGAAGAGAGAAACCAGGAGAGGGGTAAGAAGAATGGGGCTCATTCAATGGACCCTCAGTGACCCTCAAGGTTGGGAGTCCTGAAACAGGGACAAAGGAGGCTTTTCAAGTTCCAAAGGCCTAAGGGGGAAGACAGGCTTTGCAAGTTGCAAAGAGCATCTAAGCTTCATTAAGACACCTGCCAGCCAAAGGTGAGCATGGCGGCCACCCCAAACCATGAGCCGTGGCCAACCCACACCACTCCGGCGCCCCTGAGCGAGGACGAGCACCAACAGCCGTCTGTGTGGCCACTGAGGCGGTATTCGGGGAGTCAGTGTGAAACTGGGCTGTGAAGTGTCACGTGGGGAGACTTCACATCATCTGGATTTAAGTTACATGTTACAGCGGGTACTTGAAGGTAATTAATGTAATTTAACAGTGCTAAGAGTTGCTTTAACATGGTTATAAAAAAACCATGGCTAGCATCTCAAACGCCGGTGGTGAGGGAAAGACCAGCTTGCTTTGTGGGAAACCCTGACCGTGGTGCAGGGTAGTGGCACGTGTGCCACGGCTACTGACCACCGGAACCCCTTCCAGAACAGTCCGCGTGTCTGGACACGCAGACCGACCTCCCGCACCGCCCGCAGGCAGGGCTGCGCTTGCCTGGTCATTGTAGCCCATCAAGGCCCGGCGGCTGCTCTTGGGGCCCAGGAACCTATTCACCAGCATGGTCCAGCCGAGAGAAAAATGGAACTCGATGTCCTCCTGGAAGTCAGCACACAGCTTGTCGCAGTTCAGGTCGTAGCTGAGGGAGAAGCACTGCCGCGGGACCAGCATGTCGATCTGACTCCGCACTGACGCAGGAAGGAGGGGTTTCAGGCCGTCTGTCGGGGAGAGAATGGGGGGAGGCACCTCAGCTCCGTCGTGAGCCACCACAGGGCCGACCTCAGAGTGGAAGCCGAGGCGGCTGATGGTTCTGCCTGGAAACCAGGCTGGATGAGAGCGCTGGCGGGCCAGCTCCCCCACGGATGCAGACCTGGGCTCTACCCCTGCTAACGTTTATGCCTCACACTGGCCGAGGAGCAGGCCACACTCTGTGGTCACAGTCCCGTGTGCTAACACACGACAGCTCTGAGGTCTACATGTGGAACGAACTCATGACATCCCCAGAACCTGAGCTAATTCATGATAAAAGGTGACAGATGAGCAAAGGTCACCGTTTCTGTAGCCTGGCCTCCGAAGGCGAGGGTCCCGAGGGCCCCTGCGCACTGACCTATCATCTCCTGCTGCATGGTTTGCAGGGAGCTGGTGATGGCTGTGGAGCAGCGGTCAGACATGTTTCGGCCCAGTCCTTCCTCTATATGGCGGTGCAGTTCCTGCAACCAGAAGAGAGGTTGAGGGACGCCGCACACCCAGACCTCAGAGAGCCCAGTGAGGCCTGGGTCTCCCCTCCCGGCTGAGGAGCCCTGACACAGACTCTCAGGAGCTGAATCGCTGTGTTTGCAGATTCCACCCAGCAGCCAAAAGGAATGGGGGGCATTTAACCTGGGCTGTGCTGCTTAATGACTCACATTCTTATAAACCTTGAGGACGACTGGAGAAGGGTGGAAATCCATCTGGTACTCGTCCACCAGCACCGAGAGGCGCCGGATCTCCTCGGCCATCGCCGTTGACACCTACGGAAGGAAGTGGAAAGGCCCCGAGGAAGAACGCGGCTCAACCCTGCAGCACTGGCTGGCGCCTCTCCGACTGATATGCAATGCGCCCTGGCCCCCGGAGCCAGCGGTTCCCTCAGCTCGGCCAGCAGTGGAGTGAAAGCTTTTGAGGCGGGAGGGAGTAAGACTGGCTGACCGACACTCTTCTAAGATCGGACAAGGGGTCCAGGAGGGGACCTTCCCAGAGCCACACCATGGAACCCAGGGAGGGCTCTGCACGCCTGAGTCAGGGCCACGGGTTCCTTCTGGGAGGCTGAGCAGCCCCTGCGAGGAGGAGGTCGCTTCTCTTCCTCTCCAGACCCTGGACTCGCCTCGGATCTACTCTTGTCTCCCCAAGTGCCTCCTCCTTGACTCTCACCTGCCTCTCCACTTCCTCCGTAATCTGCTTAATCCGCAGTTTGTAGTCTTGCGCCAAGAGCTCCAACTGTTTGTCAATAAACCTCAGCCGCTCCTGCCGCTCCTCACGCATGTCCAGGCAGTAAACCCTGAGAGCAAGCATGCTGGTTACAGGACCCAGGTCCCCACTCGACTTGGCGGAGGAACAAGAGGGGCTTCCAGAAAGCCTGCGTGGGCCGCAGCGGCGGTCCGGCCGCCAGCAGGCCCTGGCAGTTTCACCCAGGTATGTGCTCGCCCCCTTCCTGGGTGTGAGACGGGCAGCCACTCACTAACTCGCAGGTCCTCTACTTGGAAGATGTGGTGGTAACAGTGGGGGAGGTGCCCTTGTGGGGGTTCGGACAAGTCCTAACGATTAACACGGGAAAAGAATCCTCAGCCCTAGAAGCCTGGCAAAACCCATGCAGTCTGACGTGCTGTGAGGGCCGGGGGATGGGGTTCCAGCACGGACGGCAGGGTTTACGCGGTTCAGAAAGAAACACAGCAAAACTGGATGGAACTAGAACTGCGTACACCCCAGAGGGAACAGCTCCACTGCCAGGAATCATCCCGGAAAGGCACGCACACACGTGTGAAAGGGACAGGTGAACTGGTGACCACCCCAGCGGCCTGTGCAGCAGCAAAGAAAGGAACCCTCATGCCGGTCAATGGGAAAACGAGGTATTCACAGCTCATGAGGGACGGCTCCACAGCACTGAGTGTCAGGACACGCACACGCATGCATGAGAGCAAAGGGCCGCAGCACACATGGAACGCCGTGTCTGTACGGCCAGAGCACGTGCAAGGCAGTACTGCATACTTTTCAGGACTTATGCAAAAAGTACTTTTTAAATTAGATGACAGCACAAATTCATGGTCATGGCTGCCTCTGAGGAGTGAGCAGAGTGACCCTGGGTCAAGGGGCTGAAGAATCGAAGGTACTTCACACTTTTTCTGTTTTATTTTAACTTAAAAACAGCATAGAGCAAGCACTATGAATTCTGTGTGGTGGAAGCAAGGTGTTTTTATCTTATTCTTTATACTTTCCTGTGTTTTAATCTCTCTCAAAAAAAAGCTCCTTTAAAAAATGGGTTCTGTCTGCGTCAGGCTCCGAGAACAACGGTGGTGCTCGGTGCAGCCTGGGTCCAGCCTCCAACGTGCGACCGTCAGGGGGCATTGCAGGGAGCGGGCTGCACCCCAGTGGGACAGACACCAACGGTCCCCACACCAGGCTGCTCCATGTGATTCTAGTGTGGCCTGGCGGCTGGGGAAGGGCACTGGCCTGGGAGCCCAGAGACTCGCCCTTGCCAGGTTGGGGGGGACTCCACCCCTGGGTTAGTGGCCCCAGCAGAGGGTGAGACGATCACCTCCCAGCATCCCCATCCTCCCGCCGCACCTGGCCCAGCCAAGGTCCCGGGTTCTCACCGCTGCTCCTGAGCCGCGACGTGCAGAGAGTCCATGATGAGGCGAACTGCCTCTGCAATCTGCTTGGCCCGCACTGTGTGCTGCTCAAATTTGGTCTTCACTGCAGACTGGGAGATGCATTCCTGAACAGACAAGCGGTGCTGAGGGAGGCCACCAGGGGCCAGGAGCCAAGGGCCAGGTTCTAGTTTTCATGACAGGGACATGGCTGGTGACAGCTAGGGAAGGCCAAAAGCACAAGAGACCAGAAGCAAAGGACTCACCTCAAACCTCCTCTCGAAATTCTGGAACTCAAGCATCCTCACTTGAAAGCCTTCTGCAAGAGCGCCCCCTAGGAGAATTGCACAACATTAGTCGAAATAAGGGCAGCAGATGAAAACGGAAAAATCCACAAAGCCACACCCACAGGGCACTCGGCTAAACAGTGGCTGGGGAGCAGAGAGCTTCTCACTCAAGGCTCTTCTCACCACCTCCGTCTCAGAACTATTTTCTACCGGCTGCCTTAGCACGAGACCAAACACCTCGAACATCAGGGAAAAGGAGGGAGTCAGTCCATCGTCACCTCCTTCAGGCATGCCCTGGGCCTTCTGGATCCTGGCGTTGAGTGCCTCCTTGGCAGACACAAAGAAGATGCGGTCTCCGGCCTGGCCTCGGTCCACCACGCCCAGCTCGTCCACCAGAAAGCCGGTGCAGCGCTCCATGTGCTGCCGCCGCACCTGGAGCCCAAGCAGATGAGTGTATGTGACTTGGGGGGCGGGCAAGCCCCTCCAGGTGGGAGCCCACAGCCCCCGACTGCTCCTTCTCTAAGAAAGAGGTAATAGGCCCTGCAGGTGTGCCTCAGTTGGTTGGATCACGGTCCTGCAAACCAAAAGGTCATGGGTTTGATTCCCAGTCAAGGTGCGAATGAGAGGCAACCGATCGGTGTTTGTCTCCTTCTTTCTCAATGAGCATGTCCTCGGGTGAGGATTAAAAAGAAAAGGCAGCATACGGCACAGTCCAGTATTCCAAAGTATACACAGGGAACCATCTCCCACCATTCCTGCACTGCTGGAGTGTGGCCTGCCAAAGGTGTTTTATGTATACAGAGGCGGAAACACTAAAATATGCCCCAAACAGCCTCTTGCTGGGGGGTACACACTGTCTCCCTCCCGTGCCCCAGCGGGAAAGGAGCGGGAGTTGAGAAAACTAACTGGGCTCCATGGTGACAAGCCTAGTCCTCCAGGCCTTGTTTATGAGAGGAGCAGGGACCACCACACAACCCTGTCCAGCTCTGGTGCCCCAGGGCTCAACTCCTAGAACTCCCAGGCAATGACAGTTGCTTGTGACACCTGTCACAGGTCGCTTTTCTCGATGTTGAGATTTCATCCTTGCTATTACTCTATGACATCCACCACCCAGGTGAGGAGTTGACTGAAGTCACACTGCCCATGCCGGCCTGCAGACTACACACCGTGCCATCCCTATCACCAGTCTGCGGCTCCTTCTTGTCTCATTCCACACGTGAACCAGTTATCCTTCGCACCTCTTTCAAGCTCCCCTCCTGGATAATCTTCCTAAAGCTGAGCCCATTCTATGATGATTAACTCTTTATGAACCAAAGTGAGCACTGGCCCCAAATAAGGTGCTGCTCATGTGCTGGGGATGCTTCTCAGACCTGGATGGAAGTGTTCTAAAGAGTGGAGGGATCTGGGAAGGTGAATGGGAGAAGTGATGAGAGTGTGTTAAAGCCAGGAGAAGACCCCAGTGACGGAGGGAAGACCTGGGAAATTCTTCAAGGAGGTCTCGGAGCTGGTGCAGCCTGGGAATGCACAAAGAGGCACTGGGTTCACACGGGGTGGGGGGGAGGCAGCCCCCAAACTGCTGAATGAAGAGGCACCAACCTCCTCCATGTACTCGGGCTCCGAGGCGGACGCGTCCCAGCGGTTGTTGAGGATGAAGATGTTGGGGCGGGACAGGCGCTCGCTCACTTTGTGGAAGAACTGCTTCTCCTGGGTGAGGGGGGGAGACCTCAGTGGCAGAGGGGCCGAGCCGGCCCAGGCCCGGGGAGCGTGGGGAAGGCGGAGGAGGGGTTACCGTCTGCATCAGGGTGGACTCCGAGTTGGCCACCAGCACGAACACATCAGCGTCCAGGCAAAACTTGTCAATCCAGCTGTCCAGCTCTGTGGTGACGTCAATGCCAGGGCTAGAGGTGACAGAGGTAAACCAGCATCAGGCACACAGACCATGCGCCCTGCCTTCCAGCTTCGACAGACCTGAGATAGGCAAGCAAAGGAAGGGGACGGCCGCAGAGGGGAGAGCGGTGGAGCCCGTCATCCCTTGGTAACGGGATTTTTACTTTTCATTTTGCAACCTCCTGCCCCGTGCATCCATCATCTTTACAAAACACAATGATTTACAATCATCTCCAAATTTCCCTTTGGGGACGAACAATTACGGTGAAGTAAGTGAGGCCCACGAGCACCACAGCGCCAGGTTCCCTGGTACACTGCAGCCTGCCCACAGCGCGGGAGCCAAGCAAACTGCTCCTCCGACAGAAATTAAGTGCAACAGACCCTACCGCCCCCCACATTACACGGAGCTGAGGCTCTGGCTGCCCTCCTATCCCTCTTTACACACCACCACTGGGACATCGTCAGGGCCCTGATGCCAGTGGGTACAGTAACTAGAGGCTGGAGAGACTCCATGAAGCAGGAGGATCTGGTGGAGCCAGAGCAAAAGGTAGTGACACAGAAGCAGAGCAATGACAAGGCCTGGGGACACTGGCTTGAATGACCAAGAAATAAGACACCGGGCCCTCCCAGTGTCCTCGGGAGGCACCTTCCCTCTTACCTGTCCATCAGCACGAGGTCGTCCTTCAGCAGAGGGCACTTGGAGTTGGGCCACATCACACTCACCAGGCTGCCGGCGTGCAGCTGCTCGTCCTGGTGCAGGGCGTGCGCCAGCTGGTTCACAGTCTGGTGGGTGCAGGGAAAGAGAGTTCAGGGCCAGGCACCAGCCACCAGCCACCAGCCAGATTTCCCGCGCTGCCTGTGTGGCACAGTGGCCCAAGACAGCTGCCCACTCTGCCACCCCTTTCCTTTCATTTTACACGTTAAAAGTCAAGCACTGGGAGTTGCCAGTTAGAACCAACTGTCCTTCACTCCTTTATTAAGCTTCTGTCTTAGATACTGTCCTAAAGCTGACAGTGTTCTGCATTGTCTTTATGAACCAAAATGAGCATCTGGCCCCACACAAAAATGCACCAAAAACGACAAAGTAAAAGGTACAAGCCCCAGCTGGTGTGACAGAACCACAGAGCCGAGGCAGGAAGCACCCTCTAGCAACATCCCCTAGAACAAGGCACATGCTCCTCCATGGCAAGAGAAAGTCAGGTGGCCTGCTGGGCAATCTGTAGGAACCAAAGACTTCCGGTTCCTGGGGCTCCGGTTTCTGACCCTCCCCAAAGCCCTCAGGCCTCCTCAACAGCCAGGGCACAGGGCTTCCCTCCATCCACCACCAGGGCACTGCTCTCTCCCTGGAGGGACCATTAGTCCTGTAGCTGCTTGGGTTAAGCCCACACTCACCTACCAGCGTACCCAGGGCTGAAAGGTGGGTCCCCACCCCGGTCCCTGCACAGCCCCTCACCTTGATGCTCCTCTTCTCCTCGGAGCCCTCCGTGAGGAGGAAGGCCTCGTGGCCATCCGTGCCCTCCACCCGCAGGAAGCAGTTGGTGGTGTGGCCGATCCCGGAGGGCAGAACTTTGTCCCAGAGCATGGCATTGATCACGGTGCTCTTCCCGTTGCTTGTCCTGTGGGACCGAGAACCTGGCGGTCAGCGAAGCCGCCAGCACCTGCACCTGGGCATCCACAATGAAGTCACCAGCCCAGACGTCCAAAGTCCCATTCTCTGCAATGACGCCAGTGCCCAACGGGCAGGGGGTGCGCCGAGTTTGTGAAAACGGTTGGACGGGCTCCTCTGGCCTGTGCTGCACTGCGCCCTGGCTCATCCCTACAGACCACCGCGCACGGGACTCGCACAGCAGTGCCAGCATGACGACACCTAGCTCGTCCTTAAAGAGCTGCCACTGACCATTAGCCTCTCAGCATCACTATGGAGACCACCTGGGGAGACGCACTCCTTCCGTTTGAAACCAATGCCATCCTCAGCCTGAGCGACCTCGGCTGAACAACCCCAACGTCCCCGGTTTTCCACGAAAGGCCTGTTTTGTCGCCCTTCTCCCGTGTGCTGCCATGGGCTCCTCCTCTCACGTGAAGCCCCACCACATCCGTCCCAGCTGCTAGCTGCTGGGCTACCACACCCATTTCTAGATTCCAGGGCCCGAGAACAGCTCTGCTGGGCCTCGGCATCAGCACTGATGGCGGCCATTGAAGCTAAAAGGAAATAAGTGCTGAGGGGTATGGGGAGACTGAAAGCCACAGGTTGCCCCTGGGAAGGTAAAAAGGTGCAGTCGCTGTGGGAAACGGGATGCAGGTTCCTCAAAAAGTTAAAAACAGGACTTCCGCCAAGATGGAGGCATAGGTGGATGTGCCGTGCCTTCTCACACAACCAAGTTTAGAGACAACTTAATATTAGCAACAGAAAACACAGCCAGAACACAGAAAATTGAACTTTTCAGAAGTCCGTTAACAACAAATTCTTCAGCCTGACTGGTAAGGGGCGAAACCAGCGGCTGGTGGAGCGGGGTTGCACAGGAGGACTCGGTCGGACGGACTCAGGAGCGTGGAATCCAGACTCGCGAAATTCAGGCGCTCGGAATCCAGGCGCAGGGTTGGACCTAGTGACCGACCGAGCAAGCGACCAGGCGAGCGACGGCAGGGGGAGACAGCGGGGAAGCGGGCCTGCGTGTTGACTGTGGTCACGCACTGGTGCGCGGATAGACAAGCGAGGGGGTGGGCAATTGGACCAGAACCCAGCGGGTCCCCACAGCAAGCGGCAGGGTGGGCGCCGCCATTTCCCTGCTCTGACCCCACCTCCACATACAGCGTCATAACCCAGCGACTCTGAGTGGCCCAGCCCTGGTGAACCACCTAAGGTGCTGCTCCTCACCCAGCGGCGAGAAACAGCAGAGGGGGTCGCCATTTACCCGCTCTGACCACGCCCCCACATACAGCATCACAACCCAGCGACCTGGGAGTCCAAGCACTGCTTCTCACACTTAAAGGGCGTGAACAGACCAAAAATGGCTCAAGAAGAACTCAAAGCCCCAGAGCCAATAGATCTAAGTGATGAAGAAATAGCAAAACTCTCAGACGCACAGTTTAAAACACTGGTCATCAGGATCCTCACAGAACTGGTTGATTATAGCCACAAATTAGATAAATATATGAAGGTGAAACTAATTGAAATGAATGTAATTGCACAGGAAACCAATAGCGATGAAAAGGAAACTGGGACTCAGATCAATGGAGTGGACCAGAAGAAAGCAAATAATGGCCAAACAGAAAACAGTCAAGAAGCAAGAATTCAAAGAAATGAGGAGAGTCTTAGGAACCTTCAGGACATCTTTAAACGCTCCAACATCAGAATTATAGGGGTACCAGAAGGGGGAAAGGCACAGCCACCAGTGGAAAACTTATTTGAACAAATAATAAAGGAGAATTTCCCCAATCTGGCAAAGGAAATAGACTGCCAGGAAATCCAGGAAGCTCAGAGAGTACCAAAGAAGTTGGACCCAAGAGAAACACACCAAGGCACATCATAATTACATTAGCCAAAATTAAAATGAAGGAGAGAATCCTAGAAGCAGCAAGAGCTAAGGGGACAGTCACCTACAAAGAAGTCCTCATCAGACTGTCAGCAGATTTCTCAAAGGAGACCTTACAGGCAAGAAGGGGCTGGAGTATTCCAAGTCATGAAATCCAAAGACCTACAACCAAGATTGCTCTATCCAGCAAAACTTTTATTTAGAATGGAAGGACAGATAAAGTGCTTTTCAGATAAGATCAAATTCAAGGAGTTCATCATCACCAAGCCCTCATTATATGAAATGTTAAAGGGACTTATCTAAGAAAAAGAAGTTAAAGAAAAATGAACAGTGAAAGGACAGCAAACTCACAGTTATTAACAACCACACCTAAAACAAAAGCAAACTAAAAGGACAGCTAGATCAGGAGTGGAAACGTAGAAATGAAAATCTCAAGGAGAGTTAGCAACAGGGGAGTAGGAGGAGGAGAAGGGGGGAGAAGGTACAGAAAATAAGTAGCATAGACAGTAGATAGAAAATAGATGGGGGGGCAAGAATAGCATGGGAAATACAGAATCTAAAGGACTTTGAGACACATGGTCATAAACTAAAGGGAGGTAATGGAGGGGACGGGGGTGTAGGGTGGAGGGGAATGAAGGGGGGGAATAGAACAACTGTAACAGCATAATCAATAAAAAAAATTAAAAAAAAAAGTTAAAAACAGAATCACCATATGGACCCAGGAATTCCACTGCTGAGTATACACCCAAAGGGACGGAGAGCGGGGCTCAGGAGGCACCTGTGCGCCCGCATTCAGAGCCGCGCTGCTCATGGCAGCCAAAAAGAAAAAGCAGCCTGCGCATCTGCCATGGATGAGTGTGTAAATACGATGTGGTGCACACGCACTCGCTGGAATATTATTCATCCTTAAAAACAAAGGGGATTCTCACACTTGCTACAACATGGATAGACCTTGAGGACATCACGCTAAGTGAAGTAAGCCAGTCACACGGAGACGAGTCCTGTGCGTCCCCACTCACACGAGGTTCCCAGACCGAAATTCAGAGATAGAAGCAGAGCGGTGGTTACCCGGGCCTGGGGGAAGGGGATAGGGATTACTGTCCACCGTCACAGTTTTAGTTCTGCAGGATGAAGAAGTCCTAGAAATGGACCTGTGATGTCTGCACAACAGTGTACACGTATTCCACACCACCGAACTGTACACTTACAAGTAATTACAACAGGCCCTGGCTGGTGCGACTCAGTGCACTGTGACCCCAAAGGCTGTCAGTTTGATTCCCAGTCATGAACATGCCTGGGTTGCGGGCTAGGCCCCTAGTTGGGGGCGTGTGAAAGGCAACTGATTGACGTATCTCTCACACATCAATGTTTCCCTCCCTCTTTCTCCCTCCTTCCCCTCTCTCTAAAAAATAAATAAAATCTTTTTAAAAATTATAATTACGATGGTAAATTTTACGTTGTCTATTTTGCTGTAAGTAACACTTTAAAAAAATAAGAACGCGCCTTGGGGTGCTGACGGTGGTCCCGCACAAAGTGTCTCCCTCCCGTTTACCCGTCCCTCCCACCTGAGAAGGCGGGTGTGAGAGCTTCGAGGACTCACCGGCCAAAAAATGCCACTTTCATGTGCCGCCGGGCCAGCACCTCGCTGATGCCCCTCACTTTGGACAAGTAGCCTTTGACGTCCAGAACCTGTTCTTCTGTCGTAACAGGGTCCAGCTCTGCATTCCTGTAGGTGTCTGGAGGTGGAGATTGAAAATGGGTCAACGCCTGGTCTAAGGAGCTCACTGTCACAGGTCTGGAAGGGACAGAGTCCCCCGCTGCGGCTCCCTGCTGTTGCTGGGTTGAAGGTGCAGGTCCCCTACTATGGGGCCCGGCTCCAGGGCCAGGAGGTGCTGGCCTTACCTCTCCCTACCTGTGTGACCTCAGGTGAACAGGCCCTTCTGGGTCTTAGTTTCCTCCCCTTAACGGAGACAGCAGCACCTACCTCATGTGACTATTGCAAGGATAAATAAATGAAAACGCAGAAAGTGCTAAAAGTGGTGGCTGGTGCATGATGAATACTCGAATATTAACTGCCATCATTTGCATGTTTATTACTTAACAAACACTTACAAAGTTCTCCATTCCAGGCACTGTTCTGATCACTTTTCAAACATGGCACCATCTGCCAGTCTCAGAGTTAGCACACGGCAGAGCCAGGAAAGGGGCCAGGCACTGGGCTCGGGGTCCTGGCTCTTCGCCACCCCGTGTGCCTTCCTGAGGCCCTTCCTGGTGGGGCCCTGCCTCCCACTCCCACAGGGTCTCCTGCTATCCCGCTGCCTCACACGCCACCTTTCCCTGTCTCGACACTCACCGTGCTACCGAGTTACTCTGGGCTTTGCTCGGTGCTGACCTCGACCCCTGACCCCACTCTGCAGAATGAACGCACCGCCTTGGAGTCCCTCCGGTTCATTCCCACTTAGCCTCAGGTCTAGCTTGGACTGCACAGCCCCCAGGAAGCCTCCCCCGCCCCACGCCCTGAGCTGGGCCCCCTGGTCTGTGCCCCCACAGTACTCTACACTCCCCACCACAGCACTGCCCCACCAGAGTGCAATCGTCTAGCTCACCTGCCCGCATCATCTGCCACGTGAGGGCCAGAACGCCTGGTCCCAGCGCCCGGCAGGTGTGCAGTGCTTGCCGAGCGAATGAACACTGGGATCACTGCACTGTTCTTTCCCAGTGGCAGATGCGTAACAAATGACGACAGGTGGGAGCAACTGAGCAAGACCCCGCCCCACCCTGCACTTGCTCCGGGAAGATGAACCAGCAAGCAGGAGGGTAGACGGGAGTTTGGCCCCCGGCACACCCCTGCTGCAGTGACTACATACTCACATCCCCTCTGTGTGATGTGCACAGCACGAGGGCCTACGGAGGTGGGGCCCTCAGGAGGTCATGACGGCGAAGGCCTCGCGACTAGAACTAGTGCCCTTATGAAAGAGACCCCAGAGAGCCAGCCAACTCCTTCTGCAGGTGGTTACATGCAAGGTTACAGAGAAAAGACAAGAGTCTGGGGAGCTGGCCCCCACCAGACACCAGGTCTGCCGATGCCTTGACCTTGGACTTCCCAGCCTCCAGAACTTCTGTTGTTCATAAGCCGCCCAGTCTATGTCTATGGTATTTCCATCTCGGCAGCCCAAACAGGCTAAGACACTGGAGAACCACTGGGCTGACAAGCCCCAGCCCTGAGCACATTCCCACGGTACTCAGAGCACCACTGGCATTTCAGACACCACCCTGGTGCCATGCTGTAAAACCTCCAGTAGGCACATGCTGGTCCACAGCACCGCCTGGCTAAGTGACTCGGAGGGTTAGTCTGGGCTCTGGGAGGGCAGCGGCCTGGTCGGCCCCTCCCCACATGCCCACTGCCAGGCACACCAGGGCCACCACTCAACAGGCAGGCGATGAACTGGAATAAATTCAATCTCACAACTTTAAAATTCAGACTTCTAAATTTAACAAACATTCAGGAGACACTCTCTCTCGCACCAAGCGCCATGCTAAGGGCAGGGCAGTTGGCCTACTCTTGGTCTCGGTCTGGTGGGCAGCTCCAACACAGCGCCAGACTGGGCAGCCTCCACACAACGGAGACCTGCTGCTCAGTTCTGGTGGCTGGGGCTCAGGCCAGGGTGCCGGCTGGCTGGGCGAGGCCGTCTTCCAGTTCACAGACTTCCCGCGGTGTCCTCACCTGGCAGGAGGAGGTCAGGGCGCTCTGTGGGGTCTCTTGTATGAGGGCACGAATCCCACTCATGAGGGCTCCGCCTTCATGGCCTAATCATTTCCCAAAGGCCCCAGCTCCTAACGCCATCACACGGCCTCAGGACTGGGGGGGACACAGACGCTCAGGCCACAGTACTGGACACACTTCCTTTCTCCCAGTAGCAGCCTGACCCGAAACCACCCGGAAGCCAAGCCACTCCCGTGGAAAAGAGAGTGAAGGGTGTCCTGGGGGCGTCTCCACTGAACTTCTAGGGTTCTGCAGACTAGGATCCGAGAGCCCCCGGTCTCCTCATAAACGGGGAGACCAATGGCAGATACGACTCAGCCACCGGGTCTTCACCGACAGCCCCAGGACTGGGAGCCAGGTGCGCCACCCGGAGAGGGAGCCTGTCCTTCTCTGCTGGCAGAGCAGGGACTACAGGCTGGGCTCAGACTAGTAACTAATGAAAAAGGTGCCAGTGATGCACGTTTGCTATTCATAGTCCTGTTGCCTAAAAATACCAGACAGCTCCCGGTCAGAAGTAAACAACCCCCAGAACAAGCCTGGGCTTTGGAGTCTGAGGCACCTGGGTAAGCCTCGTGTCACTTGCAAAGTATCACACAACTCTCAAACCTCAACATGCTTGTGCTGGAGATGGGGATGAGGTTTCCCCGCACCTGCCCCCTGTACCTGTGACGAAATGAAGCAGTGCACACAGAACCCTAAATGAACTCTGTTCCCCGGGCCGACCTCCCTGGAGTCCGACTCCACACGCTCCCAAGCAGAGCACCTCGGACGGTGACAACTGTCTGGGTGCGAGCCCAGAGAGAGCAGGGCTGTTCCTGCCCACCCCCAAGTCCCGCCACCTAAATGCCCGAGCTGCTGGGCGTGGGCCCAGCTCAGCAGGCCGCCTGTCTCACCCTCGAGGAAGGTGGCGCTCTCTTGGATGTAGGCCCCCAGCTGCTCAAAAATGCCATTGATCTTCTTCTTGGCAGTGACAAAGTGCTTGAGTGGAGAAGCATTCACCTCAGCCATGTGTCTCTTATCCTTCTTGACCGTGACAATGGAGTTGCATCGAGAGAAGAACAGGGACATCGCGCTGCAAGAGAAGACAATGTGAGCAAATCTGCCAACACCCAGCTCGCAACGTCCTGCTTGGGGTATGGCAGGGTCGGGGAGGGGGACCGGGACCAGCCCTGGGGTCCGTTGAGAACGCAGGGCCCTCCAGGACCAGATCGGGGCTGCCGAAATAAGAGCCACATCCCCAGAGTAGGAAGGGACCTCTCAGGACACTAGGCCCACAGCGTGGGCTCCGACCCTGGAGCCAGGCCCGAGCTCAGGCCTAGTGCTGGCTGCTCCCCGCCTGCTGAACGACGGCAGGCCCGCCTTCCTCACCTCCGAGAGACGGGGAGGACGTGGGAGGTGACGCACAGAGAAGCCCTCGTCTGCGTCCAGTGCTTCGTCTGAGGCAGTGAAGCACCACAGAACCGCCCCCTCGTTTCCTGTGACCCGAGAGGGCGCCGCATACCGACAGCAGTGCAAGCAACGTGACGCTCAACGTGGATGACTCCGCCACACCCCCTCCACTCTGCTGCCCGGGCCCCGCCAGCCCTGATTTCTGACGGATTTTGGTTCAGGGATTGTGGGGGCACCAGGAAGGAGGATCCTCGAGGAGAGGTCCGTAATTTACTTACAGACTTTCACTGGTCTCTGCCAATGTGCACCCAGAGAAAACGTGGCAACTGAAGGCAGACGATCCCACAACCCCACTGTAAACCAAGAGGGGCTATGCGGCAACTATGACAAGCTCAGTGGCCAAAAGTAACCTCATGATTTTTATACACTATTTTAAGAACATTTTTCCAGCCCTAGCTGGTGTGGCTCAGGGGACTGAGCACTGGCTTGAAAACCAAAGGGTCACCAGTTCAATTCCCAGTCAGAGCACATGCCTGGGTTGCAGGCCAGGTCCCCAGTTGGGGGTGCATGAGAGGCAACCACACGCTGATGTTCCTTTCCCTCTCCCTAAAAATAAACCAATAAAATCTTTAAAAAATATTTTAAAAACCACATCTCTCCTGGATTTTTGCAAACATATTAAAATTGTCATGACTGTACTATAAATTATATCAGCACCCCCCTTTTGTTGGCTGTTGCCAATTTTAAGGTATAAATAAATCTAACGTGATCAAAACAATAAATAAAAAAGGGAGTAACCTCACAGGATGACCTGCCGATAAACCGCTCGCTGGGCAGGCTGTGGCGGCCGGTCTCACTTCAGGCCTGCATCCGCCTCGCTAGGCTAGCCTCTGCCTTAACCTTTGTTCTTAGGCATCCAGGTCAGCATACCTTTGAAATCCTCTCTCGGGAGCACACGTCTGGTTGTCCGAATACCATCTCCACTCACTGTCGATGTCACATGCTAACTAGTCTGTCCCACCAATGTAAAAGAAGTTGCGTCTCTCCATTTTACTTTTCATCCAACCAGAGACTCCCCAGTTTTGCTCTCCCCACCCCCAGTCAGTAGTCTGCCACCAAAGGAGTTCACGTAATGGTGGTCCTTGTGCCCCCCCACTTTCCTCCCCAGTGCACGGAAAGAACCGCACAACTGATGCTGCCGACCGCGCTGTCGGTCTCGCTTCCGGGCAGCCCCTGCCGTGGCTCTGACTCCTCTCGCAAACCGCGTCTACAGGTTTGGAAGTTCTGACGTGGGCACTACCGCCTGGGACAAGGACCGGTAACGCTCATTTACCACCTCGGCCTGTTTTGGCGCAGGCGGCTCTACTGCTCTCTCTCAATCACACACACACATCTCCAGGGCCCACTCTGTTTGGAGAGTGGTAACATGTTAGGGGCTGCAAGACCTGACTCCAAAGACCTAGGGAGCTTTGGCTAAAGTCAAAAGGGCAGACAGATCAGAGAAGGTGGTACCCAGATGTGGCTGGGAATCTCTGGTCCCAAAAGCAGACTGCTCCTGAGACCCCACAACAAAGAGAGCTGCTTCCCCGGCAGAGTCCCTAGAGCCCAGGAGGTCGAAGGAGAAAGGCCCCTTCCAGGATGAGGCGTGGAGCGTGCAGCTGTGTGGGTGCGCCCGGCTGCACCCTCCTGAACACCCAGCGAGTTCCTGCCAACCACTCCCTCTCCAGCAGCCCTAATCCCAGCGCCATCAGCCCTGCCTCCCCCACCCCCACCCCGGCCCAGCAGTCTGCCCTCTCTCACTCTCCCTGGGAAAGAAAAAAAAAGGTGTTGCTCATGAGTGAGCATACTTGAGAAACCTGCTAAGGGCGCCAAAGTGTGTTAAGTTCCCGGGAAGCAGAAACACCTAGAAAAAGCAAATTTAGTGAAATGCCTGAAAGCCGGCCCCTAGGAACTAACTAACCATCCCAAAGAGCGGGCGGAAAGACAGACAGACCTACAGGGAAATGGGAACCCATGTGTTTTGCCTAGACCTAAAAATCACTTTGCACCATTAATGATTTCTGGGGAGACAGGAGAAGTGACTACACGTCCATTCCTCCCTCCATCCTCAATGAACACGACTGTGGGAGAAACTATCTCAGCACAGGGGCCACAGCTCAAGGGCTTCAATGAGACAGCAGGGCTCTGGGAAGGGACACTAGGAAGCAGTGCCCCTGGCCCCTCCAAAGCTGAAAAGGAAAGTGCGCTGAAACCAGGCGCACTGGGGCCCAGCACTGCAGACTGTTAGAGAGACGGTGGGGAAGCACGCTTGTAAAAGAGGAAAGTCTCCCTCCGGGGGCGGGGGGGGGGTCAGAAAGGGATCTGAGACGGGGCGTGATGCAGCAGTGCAGGTGACAGACTCTGGAACGACACACAGCTGGGTGCAAATCGTGCCTGGTCTACCTCTGGGCTACATGAACTTGAGTAAGTTACTGAACCTCAGAGCCTTGGATTCTTTCTGTATACAACAACTGTGATACACAGAGAAAACTAGGGATGATGACATAATACAAGCTCAAAGGTAGCTCTACATGTTACATAAGACAAGAAAGTCGCCAGCACTATGACCACACCCAGCCTTCAGGGAAGGGCAGATGCAACCCCACAACACACCCACAGCTCCCCCACCTGCTGCCTCGAGGAGGGAGTAAACAGGTCTGCTCAGGGGTGAGGACCAGCAGCACTCAGCCCCAGAAGTGACTTGCTTACAGGCAGCAAGGTCCCTGAGACCAGCGGGGCTTGCAGAAGCAAGTGCTTTCAGGTTCTGGTCATTGTTTGGAAGCCCGAAGGATACAAAACCACAAGTGTTAGTGTTCAGTGAGTGCAAGATTCAAAGGCATGCACACTAGTGAAAATTCAGTGGTTCGATGTTACAAGGTGTCCAGGAGCTGACCTGCTCTCACCACTGCCAACGTGTGGCCGCATGCCCCATCCCAAACTGCTCAAACTTGGCAGGGGTAGGAGGGGTCTGGTTCTGTAAACTCCCATCTGAGATTCCATGTTTGTGCTGCACATGCTGCTTTCAGCCTGGACCCCTCTTTCCCTTTTCACCCATTTGACTCCTACTGTCCTTCTACACCCAACTCTAGTGTCACCCCCTCTGTGAAGCCTTCCCTGATGTCTCCATGGAAGACATGCAACCTTACCAGACATTTTGGTTCTTTACTGTGCTCCATCTCCCTGTCTAATGTATGAGCTTCTAGAAAGGCCATCTCTGACACAGAGCACTGACCTACTTCCATTTCTACTTTCCTCCCCCACAACTATGAGAAACGTAGTTTGAACTAAGAGGAGTACCTTCTTACCCTCCCATCCCTAAAATACACAAATCTACTTTTCTCTTAAAATGTAGCTTTTAACTAAGTATCTGTTTCTTAGTATTTGGAGCTCAGTGAGTCAAGACTTGAACAAATGGTTTCAGATTCCAGAATCTAATCCTTCTAAAGAGAAAGCTGGACATGCAGAGGTCTACAAATGGACCAAAGTTGCAAAACATGCACGCAAGCCAAGACAGGGCCCCTGCTATCTTGAGGTTTCGCCTGCTGGCTTCCTAGCCTTCCACAATGGTGGGAGGTGGCTGGCTTCCTGTCCGTCCTCTGGAAAGCCCTGATAGTCCCTACTTTACCACAGGGCTCACCACGGCACATGGGGCCAGTCCCCCAGGCGTAGCTGGGCCTGAGTCCGGCTCCAATACCAGCTATACACTATGCTTCAAGATGCTGTGACTGCTGCAAAGTACCCTTTCATGGTTTCTGACAATTTACAGCAGCATTTCCCAAAGTGGGGTCCAGTGCGCACTCTAGTGCACCCGGTGTTCCACGTAGACTCAGTCTGTACGACACTATGTGTATGCTTCAGACCCCTTCCACTGAAGGCTGTGAGCAGAGGACAGACTCTGGGGAGTAAAGTCCATTGCAAAGACACTTCTTTAACTATGTACTTAAGGCAGCCTTTCAAAAATGTATCTGAAGAAACCTTCTTCTATGTAACGGGTTTCAAAATCCTGAGGACCACACTTTGGATCCTTCATCCTGGCGGTCTCCCACTCCCACCCCGAACAACTGCTGGGGGCACAATACTAGCAGGTTTTTATTACTGTTGACCTCAGACCAGAACCAAACGCAATTCTAAATTGAAATTATCAGCATGCCAAGACAATCAAAAGCTTTGCCTCAACTTCAGCTATTAGTAGAGAAGTATTAGGTGCCTTGGGTGTAGGGAGAGCAGTAGCAAAACTCACTGCATGGTGTGTCTGGACCCCAAGCACAGTCCCTGGATCCACACCACCTCCTTACCCAGATTTATGTACAGCAACTCCTAGCAGGGAAAAGAAAATGGATCCACCGGATCGTCTGCTGGCACAACCGGAGCAGAGGAGAAGCTGAGAAATTGAGACAAATGAGTCTACAGGGTAAAAGAGGCAGAGCTGACTCGAACAAGAGCTGTGATGAGGAGCCAATCTCTGCTAGGCAAAGCAGGGGAGGGCGGAGCCAGCACAACAGAGAACAAACAAGGAAGACTAATTCTTCAGAGAGCCCTGAGATCCCAGCTACTTTCCACCCTCAACCAGGCTCTCTTAGCAATCAGTGCACCCCTCCATGGGAGTAGAAAGGAGACAGATTTTCAATACAGGTTGGAAAACTCCAGCTCTGTGCAAAGATGACCCCACCCAAGAGACTTGCTACAGGACGATTAACAGAGCGTGTCCCTTTCCACTCAACCCAGGTCCAGAGTTCCAGACATCACAGCCACCACTTACTTACTTCTTGGATGGTAATAGACCTTCACCAGGTGGGCATCGTGGACATGGCTGGGTCAAAAAGATGATAAGTATTTCTGTTCTCTTCTATGCTGTCTCAGGTTGAGGTTGGCCACTGATTATGTTAACTCCACCAGTTCTAACTTTGGAAAGAAAAAGGGACAAGTCAACAGACACCAAAAAAAACAAAACAAAACCAGGTGTGCAGAACACGTCTAATCAGGTACAATGCTAAACAAACTCATCCCTGAGGGAAGCTGACTCAGCGAGGCAGTACTGTATGATCTGTGATGTGCCCTGCGGGGAACACCCGACCTGCATGTTTGCAGCCCATCCTGGGTGTGCACAAACACATACTCAGACTCGGGGTGGTCAGCCAAGGGCTGGCCAGAAGCAGGGGCGCTGGCAGAGGCCAATCCAGAGGGGTGGGAGGTGAGGAGGGAGCGCAGCCTGGCCAAGGACTGGGCTTGAGGGCTGTGGAACTGAGGACGAGAGAGAGAGAGAGAGAGAGAGAGAGAGAGAGAGAAGGGAGGGATAAGGAAAAGAGGAACTTAGTGGAAACCTATGTGCGCCAGATGTAAAATGTCTTACTTAGTTCTCAATTCTGTGGTGCAAAGAGAAGCTTGGCATTCATGAGCTGAGAATGGAGATACCACCTCCCTTTGACTCCAAAGCTCACTTGTTTTAACCATGTGAGAGGGACAATAATCCCAGCCCTTTCTAGGAGGAGGGGAAGGGAGAAGATAAATTAAAAGATATAGGGCAGTGAAGGATGACAGGAGAGGGGAATGGGCAGTTTTGGCCTCATGCATCCAAACAGCTAATTATTCAGCGTTCTCTGTGTGTCTTCTTTGTGAATGCTAGGTTTAGAGTTAGGGATAGGTGTTAAAAACAAAAACAGTCTATGCCCTCAAGGGGCTTACCGTCCCGTTTGAAGTCAAACAAGTACACAGACACCCATACGAGAGTGTAATAAATGCCCAAAGTAGGAGAGGTCAGCGCAGCGCGCTACTGTGATGAACGCCGGCACTCATCCTATGCGGAGTAAATGCTGGCTAACATAAAAGACGGGGTAAGAAATGGGGAACAGGCAGGGGTGGAAATGTGGCGGTGAAGCCTGGGAAGGCGGGGGCAACGAGGAGCCTCAGGGGACCCCGCCTTGATTCCCGCCCCCTCCTCTCAGGGCCAAGGAGGGCCGGGCAGCGAGGCCAGAGCGTGGAGCTGCCCGCCCCCGTCCCTGAATCTGTAACCTCAGGGCCCCCAGCATCCCACCGGCCCGGGCCGGGGTGTCTAGGATTCGCCGTGCTGGGTCGGGTCTGTCCCCACCACCCGGGCGTTCGCCCTCTCACCTTCACCTTCCCGGCCTCGCGGCCGCCATCATGCTAACGACGTCATCCGCGAGCGTCAGTCGAAGCAGAGCGGAAGAAGGAAGAACGCGCGCGTCACCAGCCGCCGCAGATTTGCCGCCTTGGCCCCGGTGAGCCGTGGGACTCCGAGCTCAGCTGGTTGGATCCTACGGCTTTTTATGGGTCTGCGGTGCGCCGGCTTGCGCGTGGAGAGGCGTCTCTGCGCGCTCCTTCACCGGCCCCGCGTCCCAAGCTGATGACGTAACCGATAGACTCCTGCCTCTTGGGGGCTGTAGTTCCGCCGGGAGCCGGGCTGGGCTGGGGTGGGCGGGGCCTCCAACTGTCAAAAGGACAAAAGACAAGGGCGTGGATTAGAGGTTCCCGCTATTTCTTTGGTGGCCCAGAGCGTGAGCCCAAGGCCTCTGCTAGGTCTGGGATCTAAGCTTTCGTTTTGCGATTTTAGAGAAGCACTTGCAAGAGGAAGTAGGAAGCACGTTTGGGCCTGCTGCCCTTCAGTTGACTTTGAGAAGTAAGAGCAGTAACAGCAGTCACTGAGCTGGTACTTACCATACCTCATTTTATTTAACCTTCACAACAGGTCTAGGAGACTCAGAGAAATCACCCCAGCTCACAGACAGCAGATCACTGGGCCTCATTGTGTGCCAGGCACTAGGATTCAGCAATAAACAGGTCTCCTGATGGATGGCCTCAGTCACAGCAGGTTCCCTGGTATGGCAACCACTGGCCACGTGTGGCCTCGGAGCCCCAAGTGTGAACAGAGATGTGCTGTAAGACTTAGTACCCAAAGTGTGTAAGTGATCTCATTTTATATATATATATATATTTTTTTTTAATTGATTGTGTGTTAAAATTGTAAACCAATAAAGGGAGTTCTATGGTAAATAACCTCACCAGGTGATCTGAGCGTAAATTCCTAACTCTGCCAGTCATGGTGTGTAGTCACACCCCAGGCCTACAGCTGCTTTACTGAGAGGCTTATCTTTGCCTTAAGCAAGCTGCGCCTGTTATTAACACACCTTTGAAATGCCCCCTTTCTGACCCCTCAAGACAGCAGGTGATCTCAACTACTCTGTAACCCCATTCCCAAATTGCTTCCTCCAACCTCCATGTAACCTTCCTCATATTCCTTCCTTGATTTCAAATGCCTGAAAGATGCCAAACTGTTAGTCTCTAGACCATCTGAGATCTTCCTCTCTGGAATATGTCATCAGTTTGGCTCACATACCAAAAAATGTCTCTACAAGTTTGAACGTTTCTCACATAGACAAAGTGATAATATTTTGGATAAATTGACTTAAATAAAAATATAACAAAAATTAAGTTCACCTGGTTTTTACTCTTTAAAATGTGGCTCCTAAAAAAATCTAAAGTTATGTAAATGGCTTGCTGTGATACTGCAGTTTATAGTAAGAAATATTTATATATATTTGGTCTTTGTCGACTGTTCCTGGCACATAGCTGCCGAAATCCTTATAGGTTTTTGTTTAAAAGCCACAGGAGCACCTTTTGTTACAATATTTACTTTTGTCCTCAGTTCCTGGAATAGCTCCAGAGCTATGCCGATAAAGTGCAAGTAGTGTCTTTTGTTATTTGTTTCAAGTCCCTCTCAACCACATCTGAGATGATGTTAAGGAGTAACTCTTAGAAAGCTTCTGATAGGAGCTGGTTACCATGGAACCAATGATGTGATTAGAGGGTTGGAACTTTCACCCTCTCCTCTCCACTCCCTCAGCCTCCTGGGAGTGGACAGGAGCTGGACATTGACTTGGTGACTAATGGCCAATAAATAATTTAATCAGTCATGCCTCAGAAATGAAGCCACCATAAAAATCCTTGAATCTCGGGGTTCCGAGAACTTCCGGGTTGGTGACTACTTGGAGGGGCAGGGAGGGTGGTGAACTTGGAGCTAGCAGGAAACTCCTCGCCCCTTCCCACGCAGCTCGCCCTATGCATCTGTTCCATTTGGTCATTCCTAAGAACCCGAGGAAGGGATCATGGGAATATGACTTATAACTGGTCAGTGTGGGGGAGGAAACAAAATTTTTCCCCCTACCACTTTAAGTTCCTCTGGCTGGACTAATAATCAAATTAACATGAGACAGATTTACAGGAGAAAATGACCACATTTATTACTTATATACATACGTGGGTTCCACGAGACTATGAGACCTCAGTGCCGTGGATGGAGACCAGGGCTCTTGGCAGTCACAAACAAAGAATTGGACTGACCACACAGATATTGTAAAGCAAAGCAAGTGAGAATTTTGTTAACAAAAGTACAGTTCCCAAGGCATAGGAGTGGGCCATCTCTGGCCAGGGAATGGCTCTCTTCTATTGAACAGTTATAGGCGTTATAGGGTTTTACTTAAACTTTCACACAATCCTTGCACAATTCCCCACAATCCTTGATTGCCCACTCAGGAAGGAACCCACCATGATAATTATTATCAGGTGTCACAAGGTGATTCTGGGAAATCAGGTTGCTGACAGCCACAGTGTCTCAGGATCTTCTATTCCATCTCCTGCTCGTCTGGACAGATGCGAGTTAAGGCTCATATGCCATCGTGAGCTGAGAGGGGTGAGGGTTGTGATTTGGGACCTCAATGTGCAGGAAGGCAATTCATGTGGAAATAGACAAATCAATGCTTAAGAGTTTTGGGGGAAGGGCAAAGATTCTTTCTGAGCCTTTGTGGCTTAAAAATAATGAGCTTAATTCTCAAATTTAAATGTCTCTTCCTCATTGAGGTCTTCCCTACTGCTCATTTTAAAACTGTTCTCCACAAACTTATACCTGACTCAGTCATAGAAGTCTTACTATATCCTTTGTCATTCCCACAAGGAATTGTCAATAGTTATTTCCTGTATCTCGTAGAATATAACCTGAGAGACAGACCTGCCTCCTTTCCCACTCTAGGCAAATAGTAATCCCCCTGCAAAACTAAGTTTAATCAGTATCCCAAAAGGCATATTTTTTGGTGGCAAACTTTGCTTGCCCTCATAGGCCAGCAGCCTGCATTTGTGACGAGTGTTGGAAGGGGGAGGGGCAGTCTCATGGGACTGAGCCCCTCGCATGTTGGCTCTCTCTATTGCTGTCTCCTGGTGGATAGTGTCCGAATTGAGTCACATTTGCAGGACACCCCTTTGGTGTCTGCTGAGAACTGGAGAATTGTTGAGGGTGGGGAAAATCCCACACATCTGGTGATCAGAAGTTTCATAAGTGGGGTATTGCGTGAAGTGTAAAGAGAAAGGATAGTTCTCCTGGACAGCGCTGCTCTGTAACCGTGGGACAGTCTCGCCACAAATACCTCAGGAAGCAAACCGGTCCCCACTGGATCTACCAGCTTATCAGTTCCTGGTGAGGCCGGTCAGAAGAACACCGCCCTGCCACACTGCCCTGAGTGAGCCAGCAGCCCGGTGTCCTGAGAGTCAGACTCTGGACCGTGAGGCACTGCTTTGGGGTGTGGCCAGGCCTCTGGGACGTGATTCACCCCAGGCCTGTCACATCAGGCTGCCTTGTATGCCTCCCTAAGGTCATGGTCAGTTCTGCGTTGGCAGGCACCAAATGCCACTTCCTTTCCCTTCTTTGGCAATCTTGCCCAAGACAGTTGGAGGCCTGGAGGTCCTCCTTCCTAAACATTTGTCATGTCTGTTCTCTTTGAGCTGTCACTGGACGACTACAGGAGCCACAGAATCAGCTCCCAGCCTTCTAATCTGGTCCTCTGCCCTGCACCCTGGGTCTCGTCTCCTCTTCAAGCTGTCAGGCCCTCCAGGACAAGATTGTCCCAATCTGGCCGAGGGCGTTACTGGGGAGGGGTGCAGAGCAGGGGGTGGTGTGCATTTGCAGACTTATCTCTTCGAAGTTACCTATTTCAAATATTTTGATAGACTTTTGCATGGTGGGCTAGAGTTGCATTTGTAATCAGAAAAAGATAAGTTAAAACATCCCTGACACACACACACACACACACACACACACACACACACCTCTTACAGATTGGGTTGGCCAAAAAGTTTGCTTAGTTTTTTTCTGTACAATGGCTCTAGTAGTGCTTAGTTGTCTTTAATGTCATTTGAGACAATTTTGTTAGATTGTATTGTGACAGCTGTCATACCAGTGTCACAGCCTTAAAAACTTCTCAAAATTGGCGAAATGTGGGGCAGCCATTTTAACATTGAAGATGGAAGAAAATACGCAACATTTTTGGCGCATTCTGCTGTATTATTTCAAGAAAGGCAAAAACGCAACTGAAACACAAGAAAAAGATTTGTGCCCTGGCTGGTATAGCTCAGTGGATTGAGTGCAGGCTGCGAATCAAAGGGTCACCAGTTTGATTCGTAGTCAGGGCACAGGCCTGGGTAGCAGGCCAGGTCCCCACTGGGGGCAACGTGAGAGGCAACCACACATTGATATTTCTCTCTCTCTTTCTCCCTCCTTCCCCTCTCTCTAAAAATAAATAAATGAAATCTTAAAAAAAAAAAAAAAAGATTTGTGCAGTGTATGGAGAAGGTGCTGTGGCTGATCCAATGTGTCAAAAGTGGTTTGTGAGGTTTCTTGGTACTATTTTGGCCAAATAATTCTCTGCTGTGGGGCCATCTGACGCATGGGAAGGTGTTCAGCCGCAGCCCTGGCCTCTACCATCTCTAGAAGCCACTAGCCAGAGACAGCCAACATATATAAAATATCCAAATCAATACAGTTATTAGTGAAAGTGAAAAATGTTTTTTATTTTGCAGAAAAAAACTAAACAGACTTTTTGGCCAACATATATATATTTATATTTATCTATCTATCTATATACATACACACACAGATCAGCTCAGAAGGGACACCCAAGAAACATTAGGAGTGATTGCTTTGGGGAGAACTGGGCAGATTGGTGATAGATGAGAAAGGGATTCAGATGTGTGCTGTTTGAATTTACCACGGGCTGACTTAAAAAACAAAACCTTAACTTTAGCAGGCATATGCAAAATCCCCAAATGACTCCAACTAAACAGTTGAAGTCCAACTCCTAGATCAAGTCTAAGTCCTCTAGGCCTGGGAAAATGGGCTTGGACAATCTGACCCCTCCTGCCCCACCCACACTGGCCAGCCTGCATTCTCCGACCCCACCCGTCCAGGCCTGGCTGGCTCGCCCTGAAGAGTCCCCGTCTGCCTAATGGAACCTCTTCCCTGTCCAAGGCCTGATTCAACAA